TGCACAGGTGGAAGCCAACGCCACAAACATTCGCTTACATCTTAATTGGGCGCAATTAGCATGGCCAGCACATGAAAAGAGCAGGAATTATCGGCACAAAAGAGGAAAGTACATGAAACTGCTAGCTGTTTTCCACTGCCGGAGCATGAAGGCTGTTTGCATGTGAAGAACTAAAGAAAGAACTGACCCTGTAGAACCTCTTCTAGAGTAAGTACCCACTTCAGTGTAGCTTCTTCTGAGTGACCTTTAAAAACTGCTACCTGGGACTTGACACTTGTTGGCTAAACTCGTAGAGGACAAATGCTGATGGATTAAACTCAGAGAGGACCAACATTTTTTTCTGCCCTGTTAATATCCTCGTTGAGTATCAGACGTTTTCTCTCTAAAATTGCCATGAACAGCGTTAAATTCATTATACAGGTTAACATACGAACCTCCACTGTTCTGTTTCCTACATGTTTATAGAACTGGAGTTCCATCCAGCAACTACTATTTGTCACACTCAGGTTTAACATTGAAGTTGAAGCTGTCGGATCTAACATCACAATGGAAACAGAAAGGCTGAAACTGCACATTGCGGGGCAGTTCATGTAAATATTTTCGTACTTCCCATCTGCCTCGAAATCCTGCTGTGGAAAGTTGCCAAATGTTGAAGTACCTACAGTTCAATAGGTGCAAGACAAGTCAGTAACAGCCATCTTAGAGCTCAACTAGCTACTGGATCTGAGGACAAAAACTCTCCTGGACAACATTCTCATGGAAATATGGGAAGTATGGGACTTTTAATGTCCACAATTCAAATTGTTGAGATTTGGGAAGTGTTACTCCCAACACTACCTCTGTGTTGGTTTATTTACAGCAGTCTTCCTAACTTGAAAAGGTCAATATGTAACAAAGTATTACTATAGCACACACTATAAAATAAGGTTAAGCAGGTAAGAAGGATATAATGGTGTCACTAAATTTTTAAATTGCACAGAATCCACCCACACAACCTAATGAACATTTGACCACAGCAAGAGGCAACCTCAGGAGCTGAAAAGTGAAGCCAACACACAAGTGCCAAAAACTGCAGTTCCACAAATGTCCACTTGAGGCTCCCAAAGCAAGTCAACCCTTATAAGCCTCCTTGTTAAAATTTCCAACGTTACAACAGCAATAAACATGTTTACAGCCTAATACAAAGAACAGTTTTGGTCTTTGTAGCTAATTTTAATTTTTATGACGATTGTACAAGGACGAATTTTTATATAACTCACCCAGTTAAATTGTATTAAGGCTTAAAGTTATGCATAATAAGGGCGTGGCTTCTTTGAGTGACAGCTGGGTGCCGTCATAAGACAGTTCACGGCCCACAGGCTTCAGTTCTGCTCATGCTTCCCGTCTTTGCTCATTTTTAGAACAACCAGAAGTTGTGAGCCAAGATAGTGACAGGCAGACGAAGTTTCCAAACTACTGTTCAGAAATCCTACATATGACGGAGCATTATCATATACAGTCAATGGTTCATACCCGACAGAATAACACATGGAAGTATTATCTGTTTAGCAAAAAATATATAGTTTACTGGGGCCTTCAAAAATCACAGTTTTCTGACGTGACAGTGCTGTGGTACAAAAACGACTTGGTCAGGTTGAGGGAAATGTCACGGTTTTGGTTCAAATGAGGGCTTTATTAAGGTTAGAGGACAAGTAGTTAGGGTTATAAACACACTGTGGTCATGCTTAAAAAACAATATTGACTGATGGTTGTAAACAGGAAACAAACAACAGGCTCTTATGATGAAGTCAGACGTTTTGCTGACCCAATTATCCACCCTGACCTCCTCCAGTTCAGACTGTGTGTCTATAATAAGGTCAGCTGACCTCTTAGTTTGAGACTTTGTGCCTCTTTAATAAGATCACTCGACCTCCTGCCTCCTTTGCACTCGTCATAGTAACTGCTGCAGCAAGCGGCCTTTGTCACATGAAGCTAAACATAACCATTTTGGGACACGGTGACAGTGAATGTATTAATTACTTCTTCTCTCATATATTTGTTGAAAGGCTACATGTCCAACCACATCAGTTAAGCAGCCTTTTGGATCTTACATGAAAATGAGCTCATTTCTCTGTTAGCGAGAGCAGAGCTGGATTCATTAGTTGAGGCTGGCTGCTGTTGGCTCAAGTTTTCATTGATTAAACCTGTGTTATTTGACATATGAGCCACAGAGGCCCTTTCGCACTGAATTCAGAGTATTTAATTGTACAATATGTCCCTGTGTTGCACTCAGCCATCCCCATCTCATTTATTATGGGCAAATTAAATGCAGTGCAGTGAGTACTGTGTTTCAAGTGTCCAACAGAGAGCACCTTGAGGATTCAATGGGCCCGCTGCAACATTTTCAATTAGTATGAACTGTATGTGTATGACTGTATTTGTGAAAATATGTGGCGCTCTAAGAACAGTCGCAGCAGAGTGTGGCCAAACATTCTGAGGAAGTAATCAACAGCAGTGATTACTGAGGGTTTGGACGGATTAGATCATCTTTAAGAAGTAGGGTTATTTGATTTGGAGATTTTTCAGTTTCACCATCTCATAACAGGATTTTTGTACTAGACGTCTGGATGCGTCCCCATAACTACATATACAAAGAGTGTGACCTAATCATTAAAATAATAACCAAAATGTGGCAACGGGTAGCTGAGTAACAATGAAAATACATTTTAATTTGCTGCAGCTGGACAAATTATCATCACAAATGAACAGAATTTTCAGCGTTTATGAAATAACAAATGAACTAGACTATTTTTTTTAGACAGTTTGATGAACTTGCTATTAGTTAAAAGTCAGTCTTTTGTTTATTGGAGCATTATTATGCATTATGCATCACTGAATGTTCTGTCCAACTTTTTATGTGGCTCTTCCCATCTCTGTGGTAGGTTTTTCTGAATTAAGCAGTGAGGAACATTTAAGTAAAAATTATGTCTGAATAAAAGAATGGTGTCACTTTAACACACTGATGAAGCAGTAGAAGTTACAGACCCTATGTCTGAAAAGCACCTTTCATTACTTCGTGAGTTTTGGTGCAGTACTTTCTAGACACTTCTTATCTCCCACCTGTTGACTCAGTTAATGTATCACCTCCAAATGCATAGACCAACAATTGTAGTCTGATTTTAATTATGATTGCGACCTGCTTACATATAAACTGGCCAGTTTTTTTTAATCACTTCATGAACAAACCATGAAAGCAAAACCTAAACTCCACATCGCTCCTGCCTGAAGTTTGCTCTTCTGTACAAACATCAAGTGTAAAAGGTTTGAGGTATCACTGGCAGCAGATCATCAGATCAGATGATCTCATTTGTCCAGGACAGACATAAGAAATAAATAAATAAATAAAAATAAATAACCTGACAGTTCTTTAATTTGCTTTTTCACAGCACTGATGCAAACCTTTGCCCTCGCTCCCTCATTTCGAATCCAATAAGCTAGCATCAGCTCAGTTCAGGTTTATTTTAAACTTAATTTGAGTGTGATGGAGAACATGTAGACGCTGGGTTACCATGGTTACCTGCATCTGGAGGTGGCCTAGTTATGTTGGTGACTCATGTACAGCGAGCCTTCAGTCCTTCAAACGACCCCCTCTTCCTCCTCCTCCTCCTCCTCCTCCTCCTCCTCTTCCTCCTCCCCAACTCCTGTTAACCTTAAGAACAGGCCCACCTCCTCCAGCACGCACACATCTGGCCAGATGTTGTGATGTACTGCTGCGCTGAACACAGCTCTGTGTTATATCATTTTCACATTCTCCAAGGCAGATGCTGGCTCCAGCTTTGTCCAGCTCACATATGGTATCCGGGGCCCACATGAAAATCAGAACACAGTTAAAAGTTTCTAATGTAGTGTGCAATGATTAAAGGGTGTATGTATGTATGTAAGTATTCTTTTCCCAGGGATATTATTTGCATTTAAACAGTCCTGTTTTCAGCTTTGTGGTAATGTTTCAGAAAATGCAACAGGTTTTTGGCGGGGTTTACTCTCTTGTGGACTTTCTTACGCCAAATATTCCACTTGCACACGATAAACTGTAAAATAAATTTACGGATATTCAGATGTCACCTTGCTAGCAGTATGAAGGCCAAAACATGCTGCTGTATTGGTGCTACGCAGAGCTTTGCAGAATGTCTGCCTGCTGTAGCTTCCAGTGTCACAAATATACGGACCAGCCGGAAATGTAGGCTTGTGTTGTTTGTGTTTGTGCTGTTGTTTGTCCTTTTGTAAGTATTATCCTATTAGTACTGAAGGAAACATGTTGGAAAGTGTGTTTTATTTAAACATGTGGAAAGCAGAGGCATTTCAACAAAGTTATCACAAATTCTGACACCAAAATTTTGTGTTTTACTGCGTATGTATATTGGTTCCAAATATTGGTTACTGGTATCCTTGATTCTAAAGAATTAGCGTTGGTATCAGCCCTGATAAAACCATATCGTTGGACCCCTAGCCTCAGCTGTACTTTGTGTTTACCACAGGTTAGCAAATGTTAGCACGCTAAACTGAACAATAGTAAACAGTGTACCAACTAAACGGCACCATGTTAGCATCGCCATTGTGCCATTGCCTAAAGAATTAATGCCTTTTTTGAACAAATATTTCCAACAAGGACGCATAAATCTAAGAACTGTGAAGATATGTACCACATTTTACATTTTAAAAAAGACAACTGTGCCAGTGCTGATACCTGTGATGAGCTAAAATCGGCCAAAAAAATCTGCCAGAACTTGTTTGTGTAAAGGCTCTAAGAATAGCGAAGCCATCAGTGCTCTGTTTGTTCCATCCAACACGTTGACACTGTTGACCTACTGTTATCTATCCCTGAATGCATTTTCTGTTAAACCTAGATCCTGCTGTCACTCAAATACACTGGATGAATGATGGGCGCCGTCCACAGAGGATTACTGTAAGATGATTTTTCTTCCCCGACCCATTCATAACGGTGTCGTCTCTCCCCGCCACAGTAACTGCCCCTGCTCCCTGGCTGCCGCTCTGGCCCGAGCCACCGCAGACAGCATCATGCAGACTGACCTCTCCATCCACCACCTCAACAAGACTGTGGAAGATGGAGCTGACCCATTACCACGTGAGTCCTCGGGGAGCCCATGAGACCGCTCCCTCGCACAAATTAGGTCTCTCTCTCACTTCATCCCACACACATACGCAGGCATGTAGCCACCAGGGCTTTGTCCCAGTTCTCCCCCGCAAACCTGCATTAAGTGGTGTTTGACCGCTAGAGGGCAGAGAGCAGACTTCAAAGCACACTGAGCTGTGAGCCAGGATATACTACATCTACCACGGGCCAACGGATTTACATTAACATGATCGTCATGCTATGTCTGATCCACTTTCAGTATATAACACATCTGTAAAGACGTACAGATTATACTTTGCAGTAAGCATCTGTTGAAACTTCAATTATGAGTATGTATTTTATTAGTGACTGTAAGTTCGTCTCGTATACACTCTCCTTGCTGCTGGAAATACCCCCCATAGAGCACCAAATGTGTATTAATCCTCTGCTGAAAATAGTCCCCCAGCAAAGTAGCCGGAAACTACAGTAGCCAGCCATTTTAGGAGAGAAAAACACCTTTTTTTAAACCCTCTGAACCCCGTTTGTTTTCTGCTCCTGCCACATTTGTACTCACTGCAAACTCATTTTTCACTTCAATATAAAATCCTGCAGCTTTGTGAAAACAGCACAACCACGACTTCAAGTAGAGATAACTCAAATATGTCTTTTGTGCAGGATAGCTAAGTCATAATGCCATAAGTCTTAAACAAACCACACACAAAAAAAAAGAAAAATGGAATCCAAAATAAAAAATAAAATAAAATCAACAGCAAGTTCCTACAGGTGTTGTCAATGGTGAAAAAAATGAAGGCTCTACATGCTAAAGATATTTTACTACTTTATATTTAAAATGTTTTACATTTTGTTTACGTGATTGTTATTAATGACTGAGTCACTAATTGCAGAATTTTAGATTTTTTATGAGAACTTGTCATTTTTGGTGAAAATTTAAATGAGACGTGTAGAACAAAACATTGTGATTTCAAGCTTAGATTTCCTTAATTTTCCAGAAGAAACCAAAAATTACACACAACAAATACAGAGGAAAGTAAGAAAGTAGACAATCTGATGATTAGTTCGTCTTTTACAGTTTCTGGCTCTGATAATGGTGCAATTGTGGTGTTCTTCTTAAATCCACCGGTTCAGAGGGTTAAAACTAAAACAGTGTATTTGTGACCTGTTTTTAGAGGTTATGTCTCCAGTAGGGACCACTGAGTACCAGTCAATGTGAAAAACACCTTTACTTCCAGTCTTCAGGTGATGAGTCTAATAAACATAATTACTCTTAGTTTCACAGCGACTCAATACAACTGGCTCTTCATCAGGTACAGAGGCATCAATTTGTTCACAATAACAAAATTATAAAATATTGCCAGTCTTGTCCCTTGAGGTAGGCCAAATGCAGAGGAAGAATCTCCTCTGTGAATCATAAATTCTAATTTAATTGACTCATCATCATAAACTGTTAAGCCAGACGCTGAATTTGTAGAGAGAGAGAATTAATTAAAAAGCCAGTGCACAACTCTTCTCCAGCACATCATGCATTAGTCTCCTCTGGTTATCTTGCTTTAATAAGACCAGAAACAGATGCTGAACCAAAGCTCGGCATGCTGAAGAAGAGTTGCGCCACATGTTTTTACTTGCTCTGAAGCTCAGACTGTTGTGCGTGTGTGCTGTCTCAAAGTTCTTGTGTTGTGTAACAGCCGATCGCATCCTGTTTGATGCTGCTTCGCTGCACTCTGCTGTTTTCTTCAGCTATTTGCAAGGTGTTATAAGTAGCCCTCGATGTCAGATGCAGCTCTGAAGCATCTCCGGTTGGAGCGAGACGAGGGCAAAGTGCAGTTTAGTACTGGGACGTTGGGTCTGATGTACTTTTAAAAGGTGGAGTGAAAGCAGGAAATGGGACGCAGCACAGGCTGGTCTCTGTCTGTCTCACTGAGTCCATATTTGGAGAGCAGAATGACAGCGAGACGCAAACACAGGAGAGACTATTATACCTGCAGCGAGCATTAGTAGGTCAGACTCAGACACTCTCACAGCCTACGTCTTGGTCAAAGCACTGTTGCCGCTGATGGGCTCGCCTCGTCTCCACTAACTTATTCCAGTGACTGCTCCTTATATTTGCCTTTCTGAAAAAGTATAACAGGCCTCTGGGGTTTTACTGTCCACAAGGGTGTAGTTCCCACCGAGTTTTAAAATTCAGATTTCTGACACAGCAGAATAATGTACCTACATAAAATATCTCCAAACAGGAAGTTTAGGAAATCTGCAGGCACCAACCAGAGCTGAATAAAAGTTATGTTTTAATTTCCTCTGCATGATTTTGGGTCAAGACAATTATGTATACACATGGGTGACAGATTAAAGGAAAAACGAATAGTAAGGAGTTAGGAAATTATGTGCTGCCATAACATCTTCACTACATCTCGCAGTTGGTAGCACTGTTGCCTCGCAGCAAGAAGGTTGCCGGTTCGCGTCCCGGTGGGGGCACCGGAATCTTTCTGCGTGGAGTTTGCATGTTCTCCCCGTGCAGTGTGGGTTCTCTCCGGGTTCTCCGGCTTCCTCCCACACAGTCCAAAAACATGTTGAGGTTAATTGGTGATTCTAAGTGATTAATTGGTGATTCGCTGTCATTTCTCTCTAAGTGTAGCCCTGTGATAGACTGGCGACCTGTCCAGGGTGTCCCCTGCCTTCGCCCTAAGTTGGCTGGGATAGACTCCAGCCCCCCATGACCCTAGTGAGGATTAAGCGGTGTATAGATAATAGATGGATGGACACAGTGAAATTGAAAAATCATTCAAAAACAATCTTTCATTTGCCAGTTAATTGTTGCATGTGCTATTTCAGGCAACATAGAAATAGTATATTAGTTATGTTATTAGATGGAACTTGATTAAACTGTAAGAGTCATTTTTCCGGAGTGGGAGGTTTCTTTAGAAATTACTCTGATTACTCTGGATCACCATTTCAATCCATTCTAACTGTGGACTACCATTATCATCCTTCACACAGCATTCAGGTTAATGTTTAAGACCTACAGAAGCTCTGATTGATGCTCAAAAGATTGAGAGGTATTCTTTTAAATTTGCCAACTCTCTATACTGAGACTTCAACAGCTCACTGGCCCTCAACTGTGTGGTCATCACTACAAAACAACACTAAAAAGCAACCCTAGGGAACCAAAGGAGCTTTGTTACCGTCCCATAGAGAAGCAAAACGACTGACTGATTGTGTCTGTGTGTTTGTGTGTCAGAGTTGGAGTCTGTGAAGCTTGCCCGGCTGGTGTTCAACAGCCTCTTCGAGATGTGCTGCCTCTGGATGAAGGAGCTGCCCTTTCGCCGCCGCCCACAGCCATACTACGAAACGTCCATCCACGCCATCAAGAACATGAGGCGCAAGATGGAGGACAAGCACGTTATCATCCCTGACTTCAACACACTCTTCAACGTTCAGGTTGGTACAACTTTCCCCTGTTCTTGTTCTAGGAAATGCTGTCACAGTACTGAATGTGTACATGCTATCAGAACACTTTGTGAACAATATCTGCTGGGAAAAGGTCTCTCCTTCTTCTGGAACATTTTAAAATAAATATCAAGGTAAACAAAATTATTCATAAATGTTGCTTCTCCAAACACCATCTTAGAAAAGATGGAAACTGCACCTTTTGTACGAAACATTCAGAGAATGTCACAGATTTGTTCACTTGCTTCATTGCCAAACTTCAACAACTTTGGCTTCACATGCTACAGTAACTTACATTCTGCTAATTATTTTTTAATCAATCAATCAATCAATCCATTTATTCTTCATGGAAAACAGTTTATTCTGTGAATTTCTAGGAGTTCTAGTGCCTCTTCTACACTGCAGACAAACTATTAGCAAGATACCAGCATCCTGCTTCAGGGGAAACATCTAAGCCAAAGATACATAACTTATGAGAAGCAACAACACGCTGCAGTTTCCCAAATCCATTCTCATCTGAGATGCTAATCATTAATATTGATCACTTCCAGATGATACAAGACATCCACTCAGACAATCGGACACATGATTCCTCTACTAAAATGTGCTGATGCTTTTATGCAAGCAGGACCTCCTCTCCTCACTAAAAGCTAACCAAATTAGCAGAAGTTTAGCATCCAGGTATAATGCAAAAGTTTGAGTTAAATATTCTGCTGTGATCAGCCAAAAAATAAAAAATAAATAAAAAAAACATGCATGCATTTGCAAAAAGAAAAGCCCCAAAACAATATCACACCATGCAGGAAAATGTACTTAAGATGATGCAGCTCATACACAAGTATTATCACTATTGGCATTCGCAACAAGACAAGAACAATATGACAAGACATTAGCTCAATTGGTACATGAACCAGTTTTGTAGGACTAATAAAAATGCAAATGAAATCTCAAAGTTCAAATGTGTACACAGAGATTCATCATTATAATCGCAAACTGAGCAGCCAGCAGCACGACATCACCTACGGGCAAACAGAAACCATGAACGACAGTAATTCACGCTTTTCACAAATAAGATCTGAACAGAAATAGCACAGCAGAGAGGCTAAACCAACCAATGACCTTAAGACACATACATCACAGCTGTATGGTTTGATTCCCTTCTAAGCGACCTTTGCTATTACATGCTCCACCCCTCTCTCTCTCTGACTTTCTTAACTGCATCAATAGAAAGCAACTGGACTTCTCTTTATGGTTCTCCAAAGCATCTTTCACCTTTTGTCCAAGACAGTTTGTCAGTTCTTTCTAACTGGTGGGGAGTCTTTCTTTCTCATGACCCAAGACTCTCATTCCTCAAAGTGTGAATGGTTGTGAGCCTCCCAGGTGAGAGATTAGGAGGGATCTCAGGACTGCATTGTAAAAACCTGAAAAGTGGTGTTGTAGACCCCTCATCTATTTAGAGATGGCTGTTTCAGTTTGATATAGATGGCATCTTCACTCCTTCTTCAAACAGTCTCTGTTCTCTCTCAAGAATGTGAAAATTGATTAACTCAAGGAGTGGGGACTCCACATCAGGAGAAGTGAAACATCTTTAAAGACCAGAAAAGGCGGCCCAGTTGCCTTGTACTGAAGCATTTGGATTCCCATGACCTGGATGACTAAGAATCTGCGCAGACAGAAGCTTTGTAAAAGCAGAATTTACGGCAGAGCTATTGTATTGGATCACACTGTATGAATCCACACAGACAACTCTCTGACCTTGTTTCCTGTCTGTCTCCAGACTGAACAATATAATAAAGCCAGAAATGCGTCAAAAATATCTTTTAAAAGATGTTTTAAGTGCCTTCACCCAGTGTACCTTTGTTGAGATAAGAAAGAATATTGTGTGCTGTTAAAAGTAGAGGTGAGAAGAGATCTTTTGTCATTCTCTCTCCTACTGTCAGCATATTAACACAATAAATTCACCTGTCTGCAATCAGCAACTGTTCTGCTTTTATTTAATTGTCCTTTTAATCGTGTGCTTATTTGTTTTTGAGTGTCTTCTGTTTTTCTGCCTCTCAGGATCAGGAAGAACAAGCATTCTTTGCTGTGTTCGACGGTCACGGCGGGGTGGACGCTGCCATTTATGCCGCCAACCACCTGCACGTCAACTTAGTTCGACAGGAATCCTTCAGCCAGGACCCCGGCGAGGCACTCTGCAAAGCTTTCAAACTCACAGACGAACGCTTCGTGAAGAAGGCTAAACGAGAGGTAACCACCAATTAGAAACCCTTCATTGCTACATATCCTACAGTGGGCAACACGGAGTACTGAGTAGTGTACAGATGTGAAGCAATAACCCATCAGATTAGCTGACTGTATTAGTTTACTAGTATATACTATTACTGTGACTGCTTGTTTTTCAGCAGTTGGACAATTCGGTAAAACAGGGACACAATCTAAGTAGTGGTGTTGCAGCTCCTGTTACCTGCAAGCTGAATGCTGTAGCACGTGTTTGTGTTTGGCAGACCCTGCGTTGCGGCACAACAGGCGTGGTGACGTTCCTGCGGGGCCGGACGTTGCACGTGGCCTGGCTGGGTGACTCTCAGGTCATTCTGGTCAGGAGAGGGCAGGTGGTGGAGCTGATGAAACCACACAAACCAGACAGAGAGGTGAGACACGTGCCATCGGACACAAATCTGTCTCTTCCACTGAATGCATACTGCAAGTTTGTGAAATGTATAAATCAATGGATGTGGATGATGAACTCTTTTTTTTTTTTTTTTAAATGTTACATATGAGTGCAGGGCTGCAGGGTGGCGCAGTTGGTAGCACTGCTGCCTCGCAGCAAGAAGGTTGCCGGTTTGCGTCCCGGTGGGGGCACCGCAATCTTTTTGCGTGGAGTTTGCATGTTCTCCCCGTGCAGCGTGGGTTCTCTCCGGGTTCTCCGGCTTCCTCCCACACAGTCCAAAAACATGTTGAGGTTAATTGGTAATTCTAAATTGTCCGTAGGTGTGAATGTGAGTGTGCTTGGTTGTCTGTCTCTAAGTGTGGCCCTGTGATAGACTGGCGACCTGTCCAGGGTGTCCCCTGCCTTCGCCCCAGCCCCCCGCGACCCTAGTGAGGATTAAGCGGTGTATAGATAATGGATGGATATTAGTGCATAAACTATGTTGAAAAGTATGCCTGAGGACAATGCACCTCATACAGGAGTATTACCACCTTTTGCATTAGCAAAAAGGCGAGAACAACGTGACCAGAAATTAATTGCCACTTAAGTTTGTTGTTTTTGTTGTAATAATTCAAATGCAAATGAATACACACACCAGACAGGGAGGTGAGATGCACACATTCTTCAGACACAAATCTGTCGCGTCGACTGACATGATAAACCATCACAGTATGTGTACAGAAGTTAAAAAAGTGCAAAATAAATAAATTAATGAATGTGGATGATGAACTCTTTGCAGCTGGTACAATAGAATTAGAAAAACTGTCTTCTTGTACAGTATGTTGTTGCATTTTAATTCCTAAGATTTAAATTAATTGTATCTGCACCTGTATTATGTAATGCAGCACAGTTACTGTTTACTAAAGCTGTGGTTTAATCTGCAAAAAAAAAAAAAAACAACTGAAGTGTAAAAATTTGACATTTTACAGAGGGGTATGTGGCAAAATGTTTTTTACTCTGAGCAGTTGCCAGGCAACAGACGGAGGTGCCAGAAAATTACTGGTTGCAGCCAAAAAATATTCTGGCACATAATCTCCAGTAAAACAGCAAATTGTTATTTTGTATTTGTTTTTTGAATGAATGAAACAAATGAGGTAAAAACTGGTAATTAGTGAGATTTACAGGTGCTGGGAGGTCCCGTTTCTAATATTTGTGCTAAGCTAAGCCAAACATGAGAGCAGCATCATCGTTTCATCTGACTCTCTGCTAGAAAACGAATAAGCATATATTCCAAAGATTGGCCCCATTCCTTTAAGTTGCACAGACAATAATGTCCATCGCAGTCCAACAACCAATCTGTCTATTTATAGTTTTGTTGTCCGAAAGAAAAATGACATGCTTCCGAAGCTGCAAACAACCGTTTTGTAATGTTACTGTTTTGTTGTAAATTCTGCATCATAAGAAGACACAGCCAACATTATTTTTCATCACCTGTTTCTTGTTTTACTATTGCAAACCACTATCAACATGGCCTAACATCCGTCATTGTTGTGGCCTGGCATGTTTTCTGCTGTTTTGAGTGTGTGCTTCACATTTTCATGTCCAAAAACAGTCCCAGTGTTACTCACTTTGAGTGAACTGTCATTTTAAGTGCACAACAGAGGCAGGTAAAGCGCCGCACTGAGTCACTGGCTGAGATTATGACTATCACTGTGTGTTTGCAGGATGAGAAGAAGAGGATCGAGGCTCTGGGAGGTTGTGTGATCTGGTTCGGCACATGGAGGGTCAATGGCAGCCTGTCTGTATCCAGAGCAATAGGTACAGTGGTTCAGTCGGACACCCTGTACACCACATGTATACTTTATGTATTTTTACACAAGACTGTGATATTTGGTCTTTTAATGCACGCGTTCATTTCTTTCCTGCCAGAAGTGCCATAAAACTGCACCTTTCTGAGAAGCAAAATGTCATATATGAGGCCTCTTGGTTGTCGATGTTGCCAGACTAAAGACAAGATGTGCCAGTATTTTAGAGCTTTGAAGCTCTGTAACAGCCTGCCTGAGAACATCAGACTCACTGACTTCTTTTAAATGGCTTAATAAAACACATTGCAATACTTTTGCATGTTTTCAGTAATTGTCTGCTGGCCTTAACTTTCTGACTTATTGGCTTCTGATTTTGTTTTATTTCATAGCTTTTATTATTCCGGCAATGCTTAATTGCTGCTATTTTCTAATCTTTTCTTTATTAAACGTATGTAATTCCTAAAGTTTCCAGACATGCCTTGTTGTTAAAAGCACTTTTCTAGTGATTTTAAACAGTGCTATACAAGTGAAGATATTATTATTATATAAAAATGTTTACTGTATAAATATCTAGGCATGTAAAAGTAGTCACCCTGAGAGTTTATCGCCGCAACATTAGTCAGCAGCTGAGTCAGCCTTGCATTTGGCCAACATGTTTTCAAATTCACATCTACAAAATAAAGAACAGATTTGCTGCTGACGGAGATTCGACTCATTCCACTCAGATCCGTTGCAAAGTTGCACAATTCTGCTGTTGTAAATGTCGGTCTGAGCAGGTCCTAACAGATGAACTTCTGTGTCTGTGTTGGCAGGCGACTCGGAACACAAGCCCTACATCTGTGGCGATGCAGACCATAGTATCTTCCCATTGGACGGCTCAGAAGACTATCTGATTCTGGCCTGTGACGGCTTCTGGGACACAGTGATTCCGGACGAGGCGGTGCGAGTGGTCAGTGACCATCTCCAGGAGAACGCTGGAGACACCACCATGGTCGCCCACAAGCTGGTGGCCTCGGCCCGAGATGCCGGCTCTAGTGATAACATCACTGTCATAGTAGTCTTCTTGCGGGACCCACGTTCTCCGGCACCCACCAGCACTGAGGACGAGGAGGAGGGCGCGGTGGAGGGGGAGATGGAGGAGGAGGAGGTCGCAGAGGTGGAGGAAGAGGAGCAGGAAGAAGAAGAAGAGGAGGAAGATGAAGCAGTCAGGGTAGAGCGTGATGGCGGTGAGGGAGGCAGCACTGCGGACATTGGGGGGAAGGGCCGCGGAGGTTGGCCCCTGCAGCAGTGCTCCGCTCCCGCTGACCTCAGCTACGAAGACCGAACGGACTCGTTCACGGACAGAACTAGCCTCAGCCTGTTGGGGCCGTCGCTGGAGGGTCGCATCTCCCTGATCAGAGGCTCCAGGCAGCCCTGCTTCAACTTCAGCCCCGACCTCTTCACAGCCTCCCACATCTACCGAGAAGAACGCCCACTGAGGCGCAGGTCCTGCATCCCTTTTCAGGAGCCCAGCACCTCTAGCTTCACGGACCCACTGTGGCCCCAGACAGCCATGCTGTTAGGCCAGGCAGTGAGGCGAAGCCACAGGCTTGGTTATGGTAGTCGCCGGTGGCGCCGAAGGTGGCCCGGCAAATCCAGGGAGCTGCTAGGCCTGTCATCATCTGGCCCCTTGCTGCCCTGCATGCAGCACTGCTCCAACCGGAGGCCTGGAGTGGCAGTGCCTCAACTGCCCCAAGATGTCACCATCTGAAGAGGTGACCCAAACCAAACCATCTCCTTCATTTCTTCAGCCCTGCTCCCTGCCCCTCCACCCCCTGACCCACCCACCTTTGCCTTCAACAACACGTCTTTCTTCGATAGTTGGTAGTTGTGGCTCCTGCAGTTGTCATGTGATTATTGAATCTCTGTTGGAGGAGTGGTGCTCTGTCCCAAGCCGAAATGTTTCCAAATGTAAGCTGGCCCTCTAAACACAAGCCCTGCTCCTTAGTGCTGTAGGTAAAGCGCAAAACTGCATCCTCTCCATTGTGACCAGTGATCAGTCAATATGAAACCAGAGCTGGATGTGCAGGTTAATGAGATGTGTTCAGACTGAATGTGAAATGAGTACTTGAAGCGGCACCACAGCAAACAGTTCGTGGAAAGGCCATAAAGGACAAGAACAGACACGTTTTGCTGGAGGAAGTGCACTTAATGTTTGAACTGTGTGACTCTACCTAAATAAAAGCGAGAGTTTAGAGGCAAATAACAGAAACAACTGGAGTCACTGGTACATTTTAAAATCAATTGACTGGACTCACACACGTTGTTAGCTAGCTGGAGCTCGATTCTCCATTGGACCATGAAAGCGCCTCAGTGCACATGCATTCAGTCTGTACACACATTTAAGTTTAATTTAAGTGCTTGGTCGCTCCACATTCCTTAGACGGATGTTATCTATTTTGGACAGAAAGTAAAAGCAATATGGGGTGACTTTGGTTGCTCTGTGGTACATGAAATAGAAAAAGATTATCTTGCTGTTTATTTTTCTTGCAGAAGAATACACTACTTGGCCAAAAGTATGTGTGAATATTAGACCAATGTGTGGTTGTTGTACAGTAAGGATTTGCTCCGTTTCAGCCACAACACCAACAGCCTGGTGGATGGACTTTAGCTGTTTCCTAAGGTAGTATTACTATCATCAGTATTTTCTATAAAGATATCTACTAGATAAACAAACTGTTTCTCATGACCGTAAACATATTTTTTGGCATTCTGTGCTGTGATTTCCTGTTACTTACTGGATGATATATATGTATATATGTCCACCACCACTCAGATACATTTATTAAGGTAATATTGCCAAAAATATTGGCTATGATGATGATTTGTTCATGAACTGTTCCTACAAAGTGAAAAAGACATTCATATCATCCATCATTGCAGCTGTAGAGTAGCGTTAAGACTTCCCATTATTGTAACTTAAGAATCTTAGAACAAAAATACACAGAACACCATATAAATGGTCCATCCACACACATTTTCCTGCACCCAACCTCCTATTCAAACCAGCAAAGACTAAGAGGTTGACTGTGTGATCACTTCTCTTTCTTCCCGTTTAAAGTTACCTAGGGTTAGGTGACACACATCATCTTTTGTCTTGAGACAGCTGTCGAGAATGTCGAGCGACCGAGCATTAAATTAAGCTCTAATGGCCTGGCCTGCCTCTTTGTCCCCTCAGCAATCCTTTGGTGGCAGATGAATAACATCCACGGAGGAGGCCGGAACAATTGTTGCTCCTGGTTTCTGGGGCTGAAGGCACATGGTGTTCTGCCCCCTCCTATACAGTCAGTGACCCCAGCCATTATCCAGCTACAATTTGTCTACAGATAAAAGCATTTAGCACTGGATTATAAAAGATTAGCAGTCAGCTACCTGAATAAATGCTTAATGTAGTCCAGTATTCCAGATGGGGATATACTCCTGGGATAATGGGTTTTTTGGGGGCAGGGGAGGGGTATTTAAAACTATATTTTTGTTATAGTTGTTGGGCCTCATAGTTATTGCAAAGTGTTCCAAGCGTATTTATGTTCACACAAGACCCATGGAACAGAAATATTTTCCAGCAGGCTTGATAAGTCCACAACTATTCAATGTTGGGCCAGGATAGTTGAAAGCTGCAGAACACGTGCCTTCCATGTGTATGACTAAGGCCTACTTCCTTCACATTTACCAATTACTAGATCCATATGTTGATATCACACCATTAAGGACAAGTATGACTTGTGCTCTCAATCAAGTCACACTGTGACTTTGTGACAGTTTAAAGGAATACTTTAATGTTTTTTGGCCTATTTGCTCTCTCTGGTAACAGTTAAATGAGAAAATTGATGCCACTCTCATGTCTGTCTCTCGTCAAATATAAACCTACCACCAGCAGCTGATTAGCTTAGCTTTCGCATGGGTATTTATCAAGATGGGAGGTTAACCATAATTGATATACTTAGCATTTACAGACTTACAATCTGTCACTTAATTAGTAAAACCTGTGAAATCTAATGTAATATATGTCAATGAGGACACCACTACCACCCACTATTTCCTCAAAATATGTAAAGAAGTAGAATAGACAAAGATTAAAAATCTAGAGGCTTTGTAAAAGTCTAAGTGCTTCAGTTGAAGGCAAATGGACTTTTTTTTTTTTTTTGGTTATTAAGGATGTTGAAGTCCCAAGTATTTATTCTCATCCTGAATAACATGGCTAATGGACGCCTAATGACTCGAGACTCAGATGTACCTAATACAGTTTGTGCTGACTATAATACTTAAGATGTACTTACCCTTTGTAATACATTTCCAAGTGCAAAGAAATAAATAAAGATTCAGTTAATGAAAAGAACTACAACAAACACTTACCAGTCTGAGTTTCAACAGTGAAGTAAAAGAAATACTGTATTGCTACAATAACATTAAAAAGCATTTTTTTGTCATATGAAAGTTAGCGTAGTGCTCACAGTCACTTTATATTAGCTTAAGAGAAAGATTACTTACTGTTACGTATCACATTTGACAATTTATGAACAGTGAAGTATTGTAAACTAATTCCTCACCTATGAAATAATAGTTGTTTGTGTTTGGTTTTAGCACATCTTTCTTTGGAAGTTCCAAAGGAAGTGACATTTTCTTCTTTTTCCGAGAAACACTAGCCTAGCTTAGCTTAGCATAAAGACCGAAATCAGGGAAGAACAGAAAAATGATAAAAAATTAAACGTAGCCTTCGTCTGTTAGCATTAAGCGTGTCTCTAAAAGTGCACATTTGAGACTTTTTATGAGGTTGTCTTCATGTCAGCCACAGACCTAGCAAAAATATGCTAGCGAGGAATATGCTAGCAACAGTTACCTTCTAGTTTAAAGACTGGAAGCGGGTGGAAAGGGCAGAGGGTTCAAAAACTGCCAACAATTTGTCATTATTTTACTTGTTAATGTATGTTTTAAATAAACAATACATAATGTATTAGAATTTGTGAATTTTGCTAGCTTTTCAAAAAGCCAGGCAAGCTGTTCCCTTGCTTCTAGTCTTTATGCTAAGCTAAGCTAAGCTAAGCTAAGCGGCTGGTGGTGGTGCAGTAGCTTCATATTTAAGTTGGTGTACAGATGTGAGAGTGGCGTCAAATGTCTCATTAAGAACGTGAACAAGCGTATTCCCCAACAGCATAAAGAAAAAATTGCACATTTTGTGCCTCGGTAGCCTACGGTAAGAGAGTTATCAAGTGTAAATAGAGTTGTGGTGTTAACAGTCCCTGTGCAACAACACCACACAGCAAACATCCCAGTCATCAGCAACTGCAAGATATCTCCCACCATCACAGTAGTCCACTGAGGCTGCCTCCCATGGCCCCACACAGCCTTTATAATTGGATCTGTCTCTGATATGATACAGATTCTGCATTGGACTGCCCCCTCCCTGCTGTCTAACATGCTGCATTTCAGTTATCAGGTCACAAACTCAGTTCTTTCTGCCGCCTTTCGTAAGGCTACGACAAAAAAGCCATATGTAACTCCAAATATCCACTCTGTAGAGTTCCTCTTTAATGTTCAATTATTATTATTATAATTAACAAACAACTATGTAACCTCCAAACAATAATCCTCCTGCTGATTTATGATACTATAATGAAAAGTTTCATATTAGACTCATATTAATCCCTTTCTAATAAGTCTAACAGCACTCATACCCAGTTAACTGAGCAAGTCTAATCTGTGGAGACACTTCTGTCACTTTGCATTAAACATGTAACCTCCTGTATCTAACCATGCTCGATGACTGTAACTTAACTATACTGCAGATTTACTATGAAAACTACAAGGAAAATCACCGGCAAACACATCAACTTCATAACTGTCAATCCCTTTCACTTTCAAAGTACTAAAAATACACCTGTAACCTCATGTAGTGGAGCTCATCATTATATATGCCACAAACAAACACACTTGAATCCATTCTTTACACGTTTCTCTTGTGTTTTGGAGTTTGAAATGGCTAATGAGGAGATTGTTATTGTGAGCTATTGTTTACCAATTTAACTGCCATTTGGACACGTTAATTATTTCTGTAATATTGTAATTGTAACCCCATTTTTCTGTTTGATGCAGTGGATTTCCAAATGTTAGTGATGACCAGATTCTGTAAACTGTGCCTCCACTTTCCTGGCCCCCCAGAATTTCAAATAGTATAAGCAGGTTCCCAGCATCACCCTCCCATTCACTCTTGCTGGTAGTTTTCCTGTAACCATCCTGTGGACTGATATCGGTGGAGCAGAATGTACCTCGTGCCCCAGAATGTCCTCAGAGACTCGGGGCAGCGACGTGAGGTGGCGTTTCTTTTTTTGTGCGTGTTTTTTGGAGAGATACGTCTTTTCTGGGGAGTGTCTAGCTATGAGGAATGTATTGTCGAGACACTCAACAAACTAAAGCCACTGGATCCCTTTGTGAAAGTATCGCCACAGTGTTTGTCTCCAGAAGCCTGAAGAAGATGGAAGGAAATCACAGTCATATCAAATATTCCCTTAGGCACGGATGTGTATGTATATTATGAGTACTAATTGTGAGTTGAGCGAGTGCTGGAGGAGTGTACATATAATAATTCTGTCTTGTAAAATCAGTGGTTTTGATCCATGCTCCACGAGGCCCGAAAGCTGGGTCGGATATTTACTTTAAAACAGTCAGATGGTGGACTTTCTAAATGTCCCACCAGCAGACTGAGGTGGCGGTGAACATGTGATGTTATTAAAAAGCTGGTCAAGAATATAAAAGTGCTGAACCAGTCTGGCTTTCACTAGAGAGTCATAGTGTCCTATTGTGGCCTAGCTACTGTTTCACCCTGCTTTTTCACCCTGACAACCTGGGAAAACATACCTTAAGACGTTAATCATCGGCTTAAAATTCTGTGCTACCCGTCCGCGATGGTTTTGATTTACAATTTTTATCAGTATCAGCCTTAAAAAAAAAACACCTTGCCAATGAAATGATCATTAGTTGGTAGGTTTTCATTCCAGTTCTGCCGATGTTAGGTGATTGGAGATGAGGAACAGTTGGAGCTGCTGCAGGGTTTTGGCCTCATTTGAAGCACCACACACAGATGAGATCTTTAACACAGATCACATACGGCCACAAACTCTGGAGAAGCAGAGCTGCCACTGGAAGACGCGATCTTGTTATGATGACAAGGTTTTTGAGCAAAATGCATTACATGTTCAGCTGTTGGCTGCAAGACTGAACATGAAAGTTTTCATGCACTTTATTTTTGTTAATGATGTCCCCACAACAATAGGTAAATCCTTAGTGTTAGCGTATTGTGTGGCTATCATGGCTAAAGTTACCATTTGCTGTGATTGTATGTCTACAGGTCAGAACTCTGTGGAAACTGTAAAACTGAGGGACATTCAGAGATGGTGGAAACTTTTAAGACAGATTTGAAACCAGTAAACAAGGACTGGATGGGTTACGGTGTTGTCAAGTCGACTGTTGTGCTTCAGTGCAGCCTGAACTTAGCTAGTATTTACATCGGTTTTCTTTTATCCTGCTCTTTGTGCTCATATCTACTGCATTTTAATACAGTAGAATTCTTAGTAAAGCTGTTCTCTTTTAAATATTTTTCTGTTTCTGTTGACAGACAACGGAACAAGAATAAAATAGTGGCTCAAACACAGTCCATTAAGACTACGTGTTAACCAGCAGTCACTCCAGAGTCATGTCCAAGCCTTTCAAGCTTCTTTGCATCACTCAATTACAGATTTTAAAAACTCATCAAACACAAGCTACAAACAACAGCTGTGAGAGAGTTAGAAGCCATAGAAAGTCTTGATCTCACACACTCATGTCAATCACAGGTGCGTGCAGAGTTTTCTTCCTGAAGGTGGCTCAGAACAGGACTAAAACCAGGGGTCATGCAGTCATGGTGAAATGAACTTCTTTGCATTGTTTTGAGCTAAAAAAAAATTGAAAAACATTCTGAGAAAATGTGAGACTTTCATTCATTTTGGTGACAAGGGCACAATAGGGCACTTTAAAATGTGATACTTGTATAAAGAGTCTTTATCTGTGTTTATGAATAAGTAGAAGGGTTAGTTACACTTGGCTCAATCATTTCAGTTGCTTCTGTACCTGCAGTCATAGGATGTATAAAAAAAGATGGATGTAGGCATAAATATGAGCTCATTTCCATGGCAATCCATCCGATAGTTGCTGAGATATTTTATTTCAGTATTTCAGATCGACTGGCACCCCCAGAGTTCTTCTTACAATAGTAGACTTTGTCATTATAACAAGATCTTGTTTTGTCACTGCAGTGGTTTTGGGTAGCTGGTGACAGTTCTGTTCAGCGTTAGGAACCTGCCTTATGCAGACAGAAACACCGAAGCGTGTTGTACTTGTGGCCGACCCTCCGAGCAGCTGTGCAGTGCAGTAGCAGTATTATTCCCAGTGATTCACTGTTGATTTTGTCAAACCACTGATGTAGTTTCACAGCACTGACATGAAGCTCAGCGCTGCACTGTCTGCGCTCCGGAGGGAGAAACGAACCACAAAAGTGCTCAGTGACAAGGATCCACAGGTCGCTTTCCCCCAAAACCTCCACTAAAACCCTGTGAATTAGTTCTGCGGCGTTACTCATTGAATTAAAAATCCACGGAAGTTGTCACTGTATGAGCAATAAAAGCGTTTGCCATCATTCGTTGTGGTAAATTCTCCACCTTAGCTCAACAAACCCTCACTCCCTCCCTTGCTCACGCTCTGCTTGCACTAAAAAGTTCCTCTGAGTCGGATGTTTCCCTTCCCTCATGATGAAAGTAAGCAGAAGTTCTCTGCTCTCCCATGATCACTGTCCAACTATAGGGCCCTCCATGAATCTGCACTGTGTCTATGTACACGAAAAGCTTCTTTTTCTCTGTAAGCAATAATGACGTTGCATTAAAAGGCTCTCTGCGGGTTTGTCTTCTGCTGAAGGATGCAGCAAAATGTAGTTCTGTCAGCCATACTTGAAAGAGCATAAATGCTGAGTTCCTGAAGTCAATTTCCCATTCGTTTTTCCCAGAGAATTCAGGAGTCCTAGAAAACACAATCAGACGTCACTAAGTCTGTGGTCAGCGAGCTTTTCAGTGCAGATGCTGAAATGATCTGCATGTCGATGGGAAAAACGAATGTGAAGTTTTCTTCTTTAGAGAGGAGCTGTGATAAAGGAGGCAGGACATTTCAGTTGTATCGGCATTCCTCAGCAGTTTGGACATTTGTGTGCATTTGAGAAGGAGTTAGGACTTCTTGGACCTATGCACTGTTCAAATGTAGACCAGTAGATAATGTGGTAAAAAGGGGGGGATACTTCTTGTCCTCTAGGTCTGAAGACAAACCCCATGATTGGCTCTTCTTCAACATGCAGGTTAGGTAAAGAAGAAAATTAAAAAAAATTAAAAAAAAAATTAAGAAAATAGTAAAACACGTTGAGTACCTGTATTATCTGTGTTCCTGTAGTATATAAATATGTGTATTGTAACTGGTGACTAATTATGTATATAAAGATTAGACCAAGTCTCTGGCTGATGCTTTTTCTTTCCTGACAAGTTGTGATCGAGCGGTTTGGTTTCTCTTGCAGATGCAACCACAAGAAAAAGTCAAAGTCTGCACCCTGATGTGCTTCAATGCTGTTTACAGGCACTTTTTTTGGGCACAAATACGACCGATTGCCACATTAGCCACCGGAAACAATTAATTTATTCATTCAGTTATCAATATTATTATTTTTTACACATTTGGTTGATGGGCCTGGTTATCTTAAGAAACCTTTGTCCACGTTGGCGTTTGAGGAATTATTCTCTGAGCTTATCACCTGCATAAAGCTGCCGTTGTTTCTCTCTTTCTTTTTTTCAGTTCTATATTTTTGGCATTGGCAATAACGTGCTTTTTTTTTTTTTTGCATAAATATCAGGGTAACAATGCTAGCAAAGTGTCAAAGATGATGCATTTCAAAAACAATTTATTAAGTAGAATAAAGAAATAAGGGGAAAAAACGCAAGAGAATGGCAGAGAGCGGTCGAGTTACTTTTCAAATAAAGCAGGACTAGAGGAAGTAATCATACCATTTACTTAAGTAAAAGTTCCAGCACATGTAAAAACACCAAGTCCTGCATTTAAAACCGTACTAACATATTATCAGCTACTTTTACTGAAAAGATTGTTTATAATAATATAACTCATACTAGTGCATCACTGTGTTGATGGAAGTATTAATGAGTAGATAAATCTAAGCTGCAAATTAATTTGGGAGAGGAAAAAAATATTTTTTATTTATATTTGGGACTTTTCTCTGTAAAAAAGACAAAAACAAAAAACGTGGGGATTTACCTCTTTTGGCTTATAAATGAAGCAGCAACTCAAATGAGAACATGATGAGGAGACACTGCTCGACTAGTTTTTGCATGACAAACATGAGAAAAAAAAACAAAAATTAAAGCTTTTGGAAACACTAGTTTAACCTTAACTGAAAGGAATGAATTAGGAGTAGAAAGTAGCATGAAACACAGTGGTGAAAGAAACATTCAGATCCTTTTACTAAGGACAACTATAAATACAGCAAAAAAAAATAAGATGCTTAATTTTAAATCCTGTATAAATATTTAACTGACATAGAAGCACATTAGCACCAAAATATTGTTAAAGTATCAAAGTAAAAGTCCTGATTTGGTCCCTCTGAGTGACATTTTATTAAATCTGACATAATAAGATGATTAATAGTGAAGCATCAGTGTGTCAGCAGCATGATGCTGTTGCAGCTGCTGCAGGTGGAATGAATTTAAACAACCTTACATACAGTTTTATACACAGAACAGGAGGGGAAATGTGATAAAATCAAGTTCTGATCTACAATCTGTTTTCAATTTTTTGACTTGTTCTTAAGTCTTGAATTTTTTGTTGAGATATTGGAGAATTTACAGAAATTAAACCATGTTGAGATGAAAGCTACTCTTTTGATGGAGCTGTTATCAACTCAGACAACTAAAATGTGACTTCTGATTTTTTTTTGTAAGACGCTAAAAAAGCTGGAAACTACCAGTTTAATCTTTAATAATGTGTTGTATTTTAAAAGTTTGTTCACCTTCATTGTAACTAAAGCTGTCAGATAAATGCAGTGGAGTAGACAGTAAAGTATGTACCTCTGACATGTAGCAGAGTATAAAGTAAAGTAACATGAAAGGGGAATACTCAAGTACAAGTACCTCAAAATTGTACCCAAGTACAGTGTTGTAGTACATATATGCAGTTACAGTCCAACACTATAAACACACTTGGAAAAATACAACACTATCTACTACTTCTTGCAGGTTTCGATTTTTCAGTTTTGCACAGCTTCATTAAATTAACTGCTCGAGGCCCAAATAGGTCAATATTTATTTCACTTTTTTTTTTCCTTCACTCCCCCATTAATCACCTCACACCTCTCCAGACTTATCGTCAGCCCTCCTGAGACGGAGACAACGGGGATTTTCTGGCTCCAGTTACTGACTGAGCAGTAAATCCAAATCATTCAAGGCTTCAGTCTCCTGCGCGTGACGTCACACAAGTTCCATCTTGAAATGTAAAATTAAAAGGCAGCCGGTCAGAAAGGTGAGCTCGCTAACCCCCGCAGGTCAAACAGGCTTATTAAAGTCACGCAGCAGAAGGGGCAACGGTGAGTCGCTTTTTGTTCAGTCGCAGCAGGTAATAATGAGAAACCTGAACAAATTGTGCTCTTTTTTCCCCCCAGCAGCAGCAGCAGCAGCAGCAGAGTGAAATGCCAGAAGCCACAGTGTGAGAAGATGTGATGCTGTAACAGGGCTTTCATGTGGAACAGTGCTGTCTGCTGTTACATAAACAGCTTTACAAAAGTGAGCAGTCCTCCACATTCTTTCTATAAAAAGACTCATCATTTTACCGCACTCATAATCTGGCTTTATTCTCTCCGTTCCACCAGTTCGGGCTTCTGACGGAATTCAGAGGAAAAAAGGAAAGAACGTGACGGAAACAGGGAAGTGGCTGAGTGTAACTGGAACCAGTGCAGGAACCAGTGGAGGCAGGCTGAGGTGTAATTAGTGAGTAAAATGAGCTTAAACGTCTCAGGACTCATATTTGTGATAATAAACTGTATGATAATAAAAGCTTCATTACAAGTCCATGTAATAAATTATTATTATTAATAATAATAATAATAATAATAATAATAAAAAAAACAATAATCATTAATTAATTTACATTCTAAGATGAAGTACGATCAAAAAAAGCTGCCATTGGAACAACAAATAGTCGACCTTTCCCTCCTTTCTGAGAGCAAAACCTCAAAATTCTAAGCCTTTGCTGCTTTGGGTCATTTTTAAGTCTTCTTTTAGTTGTTTTTCTATCATTTGTAACCTTCTGTGCCTCTTTGTGGCCTTTTTTTTCATCTCTATTGCCATTCTGCATCTTATTTGAGTTTTTTTGTATGTCTTTGTTGTCATCTTAGATGCCTCTGTTTTCCTTGTATTTGTGGTCTTTGTCCTTGTTCGTCTTGTTTTAGTTGTTTAGTCATTTCATGGTGGGTTTTTGTTGTTGTTGTTATTGTATTGTCTCTATTAGTTGCTGTTTTGTGCCTCTTTTGAGTTTGGAGTCTTGTTTTCATTTTGTATTTCCCCTTTCGTTTAATTCTTCAGTATCAAGGCGTTGCTGTTTTGTGTTATTTAGCTTCCATTTCTGGTTCATTTGTGTCTCTTTGTTTGAAATCTGTCTGTGGTCTTCAGTTCATTTTGTAGTTTTTCTGTATTTTGAGTCTCTGATCTTAGTTTTAGCTCTTCAGTTATCAATGTTTGTCTTTGTGGGTTTTCTTTTTGTCTTTCATGTTAGTTTTTCTAAAGCTTATTTTCAGTCTGTTTACTTGCTGCTTCATCCTGCTGGTTGTCAGTTAGTCCCCAAAGACTGCATTTGGCTCCACAGAACAGCCGTCAGAGACATCTGGTCATATATCAATAACTATAATCCAATAAGCTTCCGCAAAATGTTCTTAAATGGCCCATTCTGCATGATGAGCACTTGTATTTCTGGTACTTTACTTCGATGCTAATACGTTTGTTATGTTACTTAAAACATCTTGAATGCAGAGCTATTGCTGCTTTTCTTTTCTTAGTAAAAGATCTGAACATTTCTTCCACCACAGCAGGAAACTCGAACAGGCAGATGATCAGAAAACAATCTGCAGGTCAGACAAACTTATTTAAAGGAGAAAACAAAGACAAACAGATAGAATATTATGCAAACTGTCTGCTGGAAACATCCATCACTGACGGTTCCTTCCTGCTTCTAACTTATAACCATCAGGCTGATGTCCAAAACAAAAAGCACACCTGTATTTAAGACCAGAAGCATGATTTAATCTCAGATAAACCCACTTTGTACCAATATGAATTCTACATTTCTACATTCAGACATTACTGTGTATAAACTTGCTGCAATGACAATTCATCCGTTATCCAAACGCAAAGTAACGGCAGACAGAAGACACGAGAATGTGCTCCGTTCCAATATCGTAAAACATTTTATTTATTACACAAATTGGAAATATACACATCAAATAACACCCAGTGCATTCTGGGAACATTCAAAAGAAAAGCAGCTTTTGACACAAGCACACATAAGATGAAAGGTTAATAACCAGTGAGAGCTTGGCTGCCGTTTCCCACGCCTCAGGCATGTACGGTAACAGTAACAGAGCAGAGAAAGCACACCATCAGCTGCACTGGACTCGTGGAGGTGAATATTATTTTAAACAACAACTTCTAGCGGACAGTCTTGTTGAGAACAAGACGTCTGTCCTCCTTCGGATCAGCCAATAAAGCCATGCACTTTCAGGCACATGTACAGCAAGCCGCACAGCAAGTTTATACGCCAACATATGTACAGTGTAAACTAATGACTGTAGACAACATGTTAAGATTAAGTGTCTGTCAAAGTACGGTATGGCTCGAGGAAGAGGAAAGAGTCAATCAGCAGTCTTACAAAGTGCAGAGAGGTTTGACAAACTGCTCCACTTCCAAACATGTATGTTTCCTCCCAGCAATGTACCAAGTGTTGCAGCAGCTCTGACTTGCGTTTGCTCTGTTTGTTGGGAGCACTGAGGTGAGAAATAATAAATCCATCAAGAAAAGCCAGCCGTGCAGCAGAGAACACGTTACATAATTAGTTTTATTAAGCTTTGCTGTCAGGTTCTCTGAGAATTTAAAAAATGACCTTGAATGCAGAACAACTTAAAGGGTCAGTTCACCCAAATTATCAGCACATTTCCTCTCTGCAGAGACTTTTTGTTGTTTTTGTCCGAATGAATCATTATTCAGGGTAATCCTCAGAGCAATCTGTCCACAGTTTTCATTGAAAACACTTTGTATCAATACAGTTCCACATATCCCCAGTCGAAACTGCTGACAGCGTTCTGTGGATTATCTACAGCAACTGTCATTTTTCAGAGCTGCAAAAACTAATTTCCATTTACCCAGAATTGCAATGACCATTTCATGAATATTTATTCAGCAACAAACAAGTAATTGGTATCTAATCTTTGGTTTCTTTTTTAAATAGCAAAACAATGATTATTTTCAAGCTTTCTTGCTTTTCGAGGGAAGTTAATGTGAATGAATATCTACATTTTTGAGTTGGTCAAATAAAAGGATGCATCCGGGGTGGAGTTGAACTATTAATCAAAGTATTATGCAATCAAAATGTGGACTAATGCATGTTCAAATCACAGAAGCTGGAATTTTTTGATGAAAGTAAAATGTGTCACGACATATGATTATAAATGAAGCATTGTGGTGCTCCAGCCTGCAGTCATATTGTCCAGACGGAAGGGAACATGCAGCAAAAATCATATAACTTATAGATTAACTTAAGTTGAAAAGAAATGCAAACATAACATTCCCGTTAAAATCATGTCTCATATTGCAATATCTGTCAAATTAATCCAAATGTGATAGGGGTTTTTTGCATATCAGAGTTCTAATCCAAGGTATGATGGTAATTCTACTTTCTTCTTTTTTCAAAGGATTTGCAGAGAAAATAATCAGCACATAAATCAATAATAAATTAGTAGCAGCCGTACAGTCGCCTCCATCATATCCTTGTGGAGGCACAAATCAGGGAAGTAAAGTTTTGTAAAAATTTGGATGAACTGACCCCTCAAAAAGAAAGATCTGCTTTGGTGTTGGAGCGACAAATTCAGTCCAGGTACAGAAACTTCTCACAGTAGACACAAACACAGAGGTGTTACTAATAAATACGTTTTAGTTTAAGATTTACTGTCATTGTAAAAAAGAATGAAAAAAGGCCTATTGCAGGTGTTTTTGTGTTTGCTGCTGCGACTTCTTATCTGAACGTTTCCATCTTTACAGAGCAGTACGGTTTGTTTCAGCACTGAAAGTCTGCCTCTATGTCAAAGAAAGAGGAGCAGTTGTGTGTTCTGTTGCTGCTGTTTCCCCATTTCCAGTCTTTAAGCTGAGCTAAGCTAACCATGTGAAGGCTTATTTTTTATAATACCTAAACAGAAATGAGAGAGGCACCAGTCAAGCTATTCCTTTACATGAGTAACATTGGGTGAATTTTTAGTTATGCAGGATATAAAGTGTAGTGCAGCAGCTTTCTGTGGGTGAAACGTGTTGCACGTGTATTTTCAGTGAAGTGATAGCAGATGTTAAAGTAAAATCCTGCTCGGGCAATATTCTGAAGTCCACAGCATGTTTCAAAGTTTCAGCCCACAGATATTCCCACAGTCCAGCAGCAGTTTTATAATCTAAGTGATTCAGTGATCATTTAGCCTTTTCAAATGTCAAATAAAGACAGACATCCTGCTGCGACTGTTATTAAGACAGAAGACATTTGCATAAATTACCAGAAAAACTGATGGTTCACCTCAGAAAAAAACACACACTGCCGACAAGTTGCAGTGTCACTGAAAGTGTGTGTTTGAGTGGGGAATAAAGACTTCTCAGCATTCAGGGCACAGGTGAAGGATGTCGAGTAGGTGTCGAGCCTCAAGCCCAGATCGACTGAACTAAACATTGGCAGGACACTGTTATAAAACACTAAACTCTTATCGACAGGATACAGATTATGTACACAAATATGGTATAGACTGGTCAGACTTACAAAAGCTTTGTTAAACAGACACGTCAACAGATTTGTGGTGAAATTTCATTAAAGTGACTAAACACCCCGTAGTCCGGGTTAAGAAATGTGAATAGTTTTTATGCCTTAAACGTTTTCAAAGCTGTGGCAGTTGTTTTTTTCTCTGAAGTATTAACTGAACTGACCATGAAATAATGCAACCAAGAATCATCACAAGTCAATTTTTAGCAAAAACTGTGACGGTTCTCTTAAACGGGCAGTTTCACTGTATGTACACAATCTTATTATTATTATTCGATTACCTCGACAGGTAAGAACTGGCCGTCTTTACCATTATTTCTGTCATTGTTCAATTCTGAAAATATTCAGAACACCAAAGAAACATGTCAGTTTCCAGGCAAACAGGCAGGGTGTTGCAGTGTCTTCATTTCGAGCTCATGCATAACAAGCAGTGTCTACTCTACAGATCTGCGTAACTAGCACATGTGTTGTCTCCGGCCATTATTGCATCGCTGTGTGGCCTTTGAGGATAAAGCATCGGTCTGAAAGGCTCAGAGGGAATCACCTGTCAGCAGGCAGGCTCATGTCATCAGACAGAAGTTGCTCTCCTGGAAGAAAGAAAAAGAACAAATACCACATCTGGTTCTGCAGAGATGCTCCTTTTTAGTGACATTTGTTGTAAACTGAAGGTGAAAAATGTACATCCGCATACTGCAAGCTGGCTGACGCAATAAAAGCATCGATTCAAAATATTCCACTATGATATAGTTTTTAGGTTGCTGTAATCCACAACAGTTCTTTTTAAATGTAAGATCTTTCATTTACAACATGCTATGAAAGAGGCCGTTCATTGCAACAAACCCACAAAGATTATCAACAGACTCTGCAGTTCAACGTAGTTCTGAGGAGCTTTTTAGCATATTTCCCCTTCATCCTATTTGTTTTTATGCAAATTTTTAGCCCTCAGAATAAAAACCTGAGAGAAAATGATGCAAATTGATGTAAAAAAAAAAAAAAAAGTATATATATATATGTACACACACACACGCACACACACACATATATGTATATTACCAGTAAAACAAAACAAACCACAATGAAAAGCAAAAGTGAAATGGAAGAGGCGTAAAATGGCAGCAGATGAAAACATGAGCATCGCAGTGCTCCTCAAATTAATATATGGAATGAACATCAATGACACATTTCCATCATATTTCTGACATTGTTTGATGTTGTTATGGTAGTAAATGAAATTGATGTCCATTTGCATTTCTGTTTTGTGATTTTTCCTGAAGATGTAGTTAAAGGTTGCACTACATTACTGGCCCACAAATAACAGAAAACAGAAAAAAAAAATGTGCGACCAGCAAGACAACATGGTACTGACGAGGAGTGAAATACTTTCCTCAGGAGTTAAAAGCAAAGAGTAAAATAGAGCTGAAGGGAGACATAATGCTGTACTTGACAGTCATTGGGAGGACAGAACAACTCCACATTTTTGTTGCTGTTGCTACGTAGCTGCTTGATAAATGTTGTTGTAAATAGACAACTAGTTGTCATTAATTTTGTCGAGGTGATGATGTGTCGCTGTAACACTCAGTGCTGGTAGTGACCAAAAGCAGGTTTAAACTGTTTGAACTCTTTTCTGGTTTTACCCCCTGGTTTGTTGGTTCAGTCACTGAACCAGCTGCGTTCTTCTTCTTTCAGTTCAACACTCTTATAAAGTATGCTGTATGTCATGTGAGCTAGTGGCACCATGACAAAGCTGGTCCTTACAATGGTGCCCTCACACTTAAAGATAACAACAGTCTTGCAAGTGCAAAATGCATAAGATGAACTCAGTAAATCTGTGTATCTGTATATTAGATTTGAGGCCCAAAGGATGCAATAAATTATAGTACGACAAGTAAAACAGGTGCAAACAGTGAAATGTCATCATCTCCTCTCATTTAGCCACTATCTTGTTTTAAAATGTTGCAGAAAACCAAACAAGATGAAGTTATTGTGCTGGCAGGTCTGCACATCAAGTAACCTCAAGAAAGAAGGTTGAGCAGCAGCAGAGTGTGAAGCTGTTAACAACCAGTGAGTATGTGCTCAGTGGTTTTAGTAATAGTATTATGTAGCTTTCAACTGTATTTGGTTTCATTTAATGTTGCATTTCATCAGGTCCTTAATTTTTACCATCTTCGTTGGCAGAAGCTGTAAGTTGTGTACTGGTAAATGTGTCTCATACTGCAATCTTGACAGATTTCATCAGGTTTTTCTGACTTTTCTTAACTGGGAGGCCCAAAATGAAACCATATAAAAGGGGCTTAAAAACTGCCGACGTCTGAGGTGTGTTATCACGGACGTTGTGTGTGTTAGCTACCTGTGCAGGGAGGAGTGTGGTTGTCGTAGCGAGAGTTGTTGCTCTGCAGGGCTTCATCCTCAGTGTCGCTGTCGCTGCTTGTTGCCGTCACCAGAACACACGGCGACTGATCTACAGACGAGATGGGAGAAGAAGGAATGAGCGCATCAAAAATGTATAAACATCCTTTCAATTTGTCAAATAAGTCGAATTTTTCTAATGTTTGCTTCTGTGACTGACATGTCTGCAGGCAACAGTGAAATGTACAGCAAGGTTGAGGAAATTCATTTAGGCTGGAACAATGTTTGTTGAGCTCACAGAGGAGAATCACAGCGCACAAGGTCCTCATATGGCTGATTTTCTCTCTTGATGGAAAATGCAACATTGTGTTTTAAATTTTACTACAGTGAAATATGTCAGATCTACACTTCTCTGGTGAATAAAACAGAGGAAGTTGAACAGTTGAATGAACGCAGCTGTTTTAAGTGACTTAGTAACATTTCAAATTAAAGTGTCACAGAAGTCAGTCCAAAGTAGGGCTGCTGCAATAACAAGATTAAACTTTTGCACTTTGAGTCCTTTTAAGCAAACATTCTGTATTTTAAAACATGTGCCAATTTGCTTTCAGGTGCTGTCCCATGAGAACACTAATGATGTTCCAAGAAAAGCAAAACGCACAACTAAGTATTTTGTGGAAAAACTACCCAAACAGTAGAAGAATCTAAAGTATATTGCAAAAGCAGGATTTAATAGTCATTTGTAAAAGGCTGCAGATCATTCAATTTAGAGTACCGCTGATCTAATGTGTAAATGTGAACCACAGACGTCTAAAGAAAGCTACGTAGTAGTATTGCGAAGGTTTTAAAACTCAATGTCGAGTGTGTGCTGTTTACGCTGCAATCTGCAGGTCACTACACCTCCACAGGATTACTATGGCAGATATTTCATGCCATAGAGGTTGTTCCTCATCATCAGGCGGATGTTGCTGCACATGCTAAACAAACAACACAGCAAGCACATAAATTCCTCAGGGTGGCAGCTACAAGGTGAACCAACCTTCATTTGACTGTTGCGGCGCAGAGGGACCCTCAAGCAAGGACTGATGGGAGTTTCCTGAGCTTTCAGATTCACAGTCCAACATGGCTGCCCTGAGGTAGGAGGAGATAGAAGAGTTATGAGTCACAGTTTGTGCCGCAGCCACACTTTCCCTGTGTATGATGAGTCTCTGAGTCGCACCCCAGGGCCCTGCTGCCACAGCTCTTGCTGGCAGTCATATAGCTCTGTCCTCCCAAGGAGAAGATGTCGTCCCTGGAGCCCGAGGCCCCGTAAAGCTGCTGCTCCACCGAGTGCTGCTGCTTGGAGGTGGAAGCCTGCTCTGATGAGGAGCTGCCGAGAGACACGAGGGGGCCCTGGATGCCGTCAAACTTCAGTATGCCTGGAGCAGAGAACAGGAGCAAAGTCACACAGTGGAAAAACACAGGTCTGCTTTTGTTTTCTGTTGCTCTGCAGTACAATCCAGGAAAACAGATCTAAGTTGGACTAAACTCATGTCATAAAACACAGAGGGCTGCGTAGGTGGAGGCATGTTGGGTCACATACAGTAAGATTATAAAATAGACCCATCAAGTCAAGAGTAAAACTGTCAATTCATGTGTCTGAAGGCGTATTAGATGTATGGATCTATTTGTCACTCATTCAAATGAATTAACACTCCGTGTTAAAGCAGGTCTGAACTCAGGGTAACAGTCGTGATACTCCACAATCTGAAAGTGTGCGATGCACTCAACAACATGATGTCAAGCCACGGCTTTGCACACACGAATGTGAAAATGGATTTTATAGACAGATATCGTCCCCGTCCATAAACTGTTTACACAACCATCATTTTACAAAATATCTCAAATACAAATGCTCCAACAACCATGCCATGTCATTCTACATCAACAATGCATCTAATACCAAAAGACCAATATTTCGTTGTTTCTGCTACTTTTGTGTGCAGGTGAAGTGATGCAGCAATGACAATTCATCAAATATAAAGAAACTGGTTGATATCAGCTGTAATTGTTGTTTCAGGCACATGCTCATTAAGTAAGGGAACAAAGAGCATGCAAGAATTGAGGTGTACATGTCCAACTGGGAAATGCAAACCAGAGTTTGTAAAGATTTTCACTTTAGAGGGCCTTTAAAAATAAAAAATAAAAAAAAGTCATGCATGTGGATATGTGGATGATGAGGCCTAAAAATGTTTGTTTTGCAAAGTCTCTCAAAATAAATTAAGAAGGACAAGGCTTAACTTTCCTTTGAGCTCTCCAAAAAGAAGGACATGAACTGTAATGTGTGTTGTGTAGTTCACAGAAATCAGGAGCTTTCTTCTTCTTTGGGGAATAAATATGTTTCCAATCTCATGGCAATCTACCTTCTAGATTAGCTGATGTCATCTGAGAGTTTCTCCAAGTTTGGCTTAAGAGCAGCACAGAAGACTCAACAAGTTTCCAAAACTAAGACGGTTCATCGCACAGGGTGAAAGAATGCGGTGTATGAATTTGTAATGTTTAGTCAGATGGACATGCTGAGAATCACCAAATATACAGTGAAATATCAAACAGCCACAGGAAATATCAGATAAGGCCAATCTTAGGTTTAGGAAATGACAAGATATTAGATTAATTTTGACCAAACACCTCAATCAACATATTATCAACATATTCTGACACGTTTACGTGAAGCGGTGGTGCTTTCATGTGGCATTTCAGGTTTAGATTAAGGTTGCTTTACTAATTTTCTACAGTGCCTAACACACAATTCATATGAAAAGTTGGATATAAACTCAGATAAGAGGGGGTGGTTGGAAATGTATCTTAACAGTGGTTAGTCCCTATACTCTGTAAAAACAGTAGAAGTCTATTATACATTAAGAGTTTTTTTTACAATCTACTGTATTGGAAACACATTACCTGATCTGAGGACTGCCTGGAGGAGATTTAGAAAATGGTAAACTGAACACATAAAATGCTGTGACATGATATGTAACTTATTTTTGGTTGCCAATAAAAATAAAATTTTTAAAAAAAAGAAGAAAAGTTGGATATAATTAAAGTAGAGTAAGTGTTTCGAGTGTAAACTGATGTAGCTGCAACATAACATGTCATGTCTTTTTCAAACACATAACTTCATACAATCTGGTAAGAGTTAGTGGTGGCAACTGTGAAATGGAAAAACAAAGAGTTGTAAACAGAGTTTAAAATATTGACATACACACTAAAATCGTGTTAGAGAGGAGGAGTATGTAGTGCCAAAACAACCTACAGTTCATTACAGACCAGTCACGAGAGAATCAAGATCTATTTTAAGTCACACTGAAGCAGAACAAAAGAGAGTTAAGTAGATTGTATTTGGAAAAGAACTGTATGTGTTCACTTGCACCAAGAAAATACTTCTAGATATAACAATTACATAATTTTTGTTCCAGAACCACGCCAAATCCCAACATTTCCACCACACTCGTTAATTGCATTCTATTGAGTGCTCCAACAAAACAAATGAAATTTAAAGCTGCACTAATCAATATTTTAGTTAACAATTTATCATCTCATGATGTGCAATATAAAAGTATCACTCGACTGCAGCAGGCAGATAAGTTCAGCAAAAGTTTTCAAAATGTCTGAGACAATATTACGTCTGTGCTGTATTTATAGATTTTTTTTCCTGGTGCTCTGAAGTGGCCCAAAAAAGTCAGTTAATGCAGCGTTAAAGAGTAAGATAAGTTTGAAAACTACTGACCCTCTGCTCCACCCATCCCATCTTTAGGATGCAGGCTGAGCTTTGCAGCAGCTTCTGCTCCTCTCTGGTCTTTTTCCATCTCCTCTGAACTCCTCCTCTTCACAACCAGAGAGCCGCTGCTGTCCAGGACTGGGGACAGAGATTTCCTGGCTGCAACATGAAGAAATAAACACATACACAAATATGTAATTAAAAAAATATACTGACTCTGCCAGCAGGAGTCCTGTCAGCCTTGCTGTCTGGAGTCTCGTCTAAATACAGCCATTAAAGGAATTTGTGCCTCACCGTCTCAGGCTAATAGGGAATGTGGAAAGTACACAGAGATAACTCTTGGTAAGACCATGCCAAAAACAGTAACTGTATCATTTTTAACCTAAGTACAGGATAAATAGGCTCCAAAAGGCTCCATGAGCTTATTTTTGAACTGTGAAAATCAAGTCTGGAAATCATCCACTGATGATCCAACGTGGCAGCAGACTTAGGATTCAAGAGTTGACCTGAGCTGTTGATGTCAGGTTAAGCTTGATTTAAAGAATGTGTTGTATTTATCCTGTACTTTACATCATACCCCGACGTGCACCGTCCCTGAAATGCAACTTCACGTTGCAGTGAAGCAGACCAAAGCAACTGTGATTTATCTACTGTGATTTAATATGCTGTGTTTACTTGGCATATTGATTCACTCAGTGAAATGCTTCGTTGAACCAAAATGTTGTATCTTACTTGCCAATGTAGTCATATACTGTTTTCTTGTTTTCGAAGTTCTGCCAACACATGTATAGACTCAGTTGGCTTAGACTTCTTCCCTTTTCTGTGTTGCAGTAATGTCAGCAAAAGTAGCTGTTGTGCGACATTTATTAACCTCGCCTCTACACGATCTGCTCTGGTACGATCTGGTAGCTTGAAGTACACAAAGAAACACAATGGCACAGAATCACCACCACTGACTAGATTTTTGGGGGGATAATTGCAGGGTGACAAAGACACACCAGTACACAAGTATGAATGCTCACAACAGCACACAGCCTTAGTGATCATTTAGATGGAAAACAGCTCTGTTTTCACAAAAAGATGCAAGAGGGTGAACTGATGTGGCCATTTTGCTTCATGTGTTTGGGAAAGAAACATGAATATGTGTATCAAACAAGCCTCTTGTGTCGGCTCTGCGTAGATTCAATGCAGGAGTATAAATGAAGATAGATCTTGAGAAGCAACAAATGCAGACCTTTAGTTTTGCTTTTGGAAAAAAGAGGAAGGAAAATATGGAAACAGACAATCAGCCCCTTGTATTGCTTCAGTTCAAACAGCACAAAGCTGCATAAGGTTTCCTAGTCAAATATGATTATAGTGAACTCAAAGTAAATACATAATAATTTATACATAATCATGCTACATACAAACAGTGAAGTCATTTATAGTTTGCTGATTTCTAAAGGAAGGCTCACACTGAAGACTCAAAAAGAAAATGAAGACAGCAGCTGGAGGTAAATATTAGTCTGGAGGCTGATGGATCACAGTGGTGACTCTGACTCTTAAAACATGATGCCGTTTATGATCTGAGCATTTGAGACGACAGGTAGAGAGCTAAACCACACAGATTATTCTAAGTAGCCTCACATTTCCAGTCTTTTTCAGATTCCAGTGCAACTTTTTCCACCAGTACAAGCTGTTGTGTAACTAAAAGCTTGACGTTTTTGCACAAAATGTTGTTTTCAAGGGTTTTTGAAGGTCAGAAGCACTTATCCAATCCCCTTCTTCAAAAAGAGAGATGAATATAAAAACTACTAGATGTGCAGGTCAGAGAAAGAGAGGATTGTTACGTGGGTTTGTACACATTTCATGACATGTAACATGCATTAGCAGTGGCAGCAGTCCTCACCTGGGCGGCAGGGCCTGGACCGAGCTGCAGCTGCTCTCTCCACCAGGTCCAGCTCACCGGGTTTACGGCAAACTGACAACTCTGAATCACCGTGATGTGATGGGAGATCCTCCACCCCGAAGGCTCCAGATGGGCCGGGCCTGGGATCTCCAGACCCCCGAGCCTCCAGCACTTGACTCTTGACATCGGACATCTTGCTGCGGACTTCGGCCATCTGAGCCTTGAGGCGGATCAGGACCCCCGAGTCCGGAGCTGATCGTCGCACCACCTGAGGCCGACGCTCTCGGTCTTTCCTTGAATGAGGATGTGCTAAAATAACAGGAACAAAAAAACATAACAGTGAATTTTAGAATAGATTTACAATTATGCATTTAGCATAGAAGCATGCATATTACATCCCAGCATGATTCTGAAGTAAGAGATGATTTTATTTATGTTTGCTCATAGTTATGTAGTCCGGCTCTACGTTTGGAGTTGTGGTCTTCTGATCGTGCTGCAAAATGAGTCATGGACCGATCAGTACTGCATGATGGATAAGAATCGGCATTTTTTTAATGCTTAAAACATTTGCATAAGACTGCACACATGTCTATTAAAGAAGCCAAGATGGTGTTGATAATTCAAGACTTGTCTCCATTTTCAAATGAACCTTATTTGTCAATGTTTGTACCGGAATTGGTAAAATTGCCATGCTGCTAGTGTGCAGAAGAAATCTTATTTATTAATTTTTTTGTAAACAAATACATTTTCTGCTTACATTCAGTGCTATCAAAAAAAACAAAAAAACAAACAAAAAAACAATGTTACACATCATATGTTATACAGAATGCCTTTTCTTTGTCATACAACATTTTGAAACCTGCATTGTTTCTTCTTTACTACTCTTAGCTAGCACGCTGTTGCATTACTAACAACTATTAATTAGCAGAATCATGCAAAGTAGAGATGCACTGATATTGTATTTCAGAGCAGATAATACCAGAAATTAATTGTTTAGCATGACTGATATGATACAAATGTAAAAATGTGAAGACGCTACTTAATAAGTACTTTTTTGATGTAGGTGAGAGCTTTTTCTTTTGAGAGACTTCCACATCGGTGGTAACATTGTTTTTAATGGCTGTAGCACTTTAAACTAATTAGTAAACCAATGACATTGTTTATTTTAATTAGTTTTTGTTGTGTTGACACTCTACCCAAACTGTTATAGTAGGAGCTCAACTTATCCTTAAAATAATCTTCCTCTGTGGCTGCTTGAGATTCATTAAGGATGATTTGATGCAGTAGCACACAGAAGAAGCACACAGGAACAAAGTAGTCATGAGTAATATCTGAAATATTCATCTACTTTGGTTTCCATCACTGGAAAAAAGGAAATGAAAAACATATTTAAAAATATTTTTCTCTAAGATGTAAGGGGTAGAGGGAGGTTTGAAAGATAGACCTTTGTCATCTATGGCTGCTGTTGAGTTGTGATCATCCAAGACATTTCTTCCCTTTTTTTATACTGAAGGGGCCCCGTGCATTGATTTCTAGTTTAGCTGGAATGATTTGTTGTTAGTGAGCTAAGTGTGTTTGCAGACCTTGGCTGTGCAGCAGAGATACTGGAGGCCGAGGCTGAAGCCCCCACAGAGACTCAACGCTGCTGCGCTCCTTCAAATCCAGCAGCTGGATCAGGAAGACCGGGTCAATCTCCAGAAGGCTGTTGGTGCCGGGCCCAACGGCACCACCACCAGCAGCTCCACTGCTACCGGCACTACGGCCAGCAGCAGCACTGCGGTGTAATGAACGCACACCGGAGCTGGATCCACCTGCAAATTAGACAGAACACAGTGGTCATATGGCTTACATAGGGCTGAGTGACATAGTAGAAAAATGTATGTTTCATTTAAGACAACAGTTACTGAGAATGTAACTGCTTTTACACAGGTAGTAATTTTAAAATGTACACAACAATGAAAAAAAAAAAAAAAACAGAAATTTTAAAAATACCAACAACAATAAAGGAATGACATCACCCTAATACACTATAAATAAATAGGTAAATAGTAAATGGCCCTACATAAGTACACAAACTTTGTCAACTTAGAAAGTAACATCTTTTATTGTCCAGTTTACACACGGCCATGCTTTTGAATCAACAGCCAGGGATGTGGTTTTGCCCAAAACTGGTAATTTACAAAAGCAACAATAAATGATTTTAAAATAAATAAATAAATAAATAAAGTCTTTCTTAAAAAATATGGTTGTGGTATGTGACTGATGTATGTTGATGTGGCTGATGCTTCACTACAACACTGTGCAAAATGCTCACTTTAAATATATTTATCAAAAGAAAGAAGGCTGTGATTGAAGCATGTAGTTTCACAGCTCTACTTACTCATTGCTAATAGTTTTTTCAATTAAATATACATATATTTCTTTAAGTTAATTTTCAGCTGACACCTAACAATTCTCCTTAAGTCACTTTCACACTTTAAATCCTGAAATACTGAATTTTAAGTCTAAGAGAAGCAGTGAGTCACATTGTTTATTATTACAGTTCACATGGGTCTCTGATTGGCCGGGTTCCAGCTGCTGGGGTAGTAAAATTCTCAGTAAAGGTTCCAGAAAAAATAAATTGCTTCAAAAACTGAGTTAGAAAACTTATGCTGGCTATAGACGGAAAAGTAAACCTAAATGTAAAAAAATGCTTAAAAAAAAAATACAGAGGGACTTAAAGAACATGCAGCAACATTTTGCTCAGCTCAACCCTGACATCGAATACACATCCCTCCCCACACATGTACACATACGGACACCAAGTGTTTCTATAACAGCAGGGTGCAAGGGGTAAAGTGCACCAACAATGACTCATCCTCTTCATGCCTTTCAACACCAACACAGTCAAACACACTGAAGGAGCTGCTTTGAGGCCCACCGCAGTATCACTGTGTTCAGCATGTACAGTTGTCAAACAACACAAATAGATTCTGTAAATTCTCAAACTGTGGCTGATGCTTTTCTTTGCCACAAGAAGAACAAGGCCTTTAAGGCAGGACATTAAACATTTCATTGCTACAACTTCACAAACTCAAGATATTCTTTCTAGATACCTGTGAGTTTTTTTAAATCTTCAAAATAAGTCACCTTGTGTTCTGAGAAACTGTAAAGAACATTTTTTCTGATCTTTTAGACCAAATGATTAACCAAGAAAATAATCATCAGACGCAACAGTTTAATTACAGCCCAACTACTTAACTTTGAATACAAACTGAATTAGAACACCTCCAGCAGGTCAGCATCCTAATCCCTTCAGTTCCTTGAAATCTTTCATTTTCTCCAAACAGCAGCTTAGCACACAGAAATAAATGGAAAGCAGTACTGGCTGCATTTATGTGAGAGCTCTCATCCTTATTGCTGGACTGGAGATTAGTACTGGTTACTTTGGGAACCCGCACAGCAGGGTGTGGAAGGGAGCTCATGTAAACACCCCCCAGGTGAAGCTCAACGCTGGCAGTTGGAAAGCGTTGAGCACATGTTATCTATATCCTCCGCACGTCAGTTAATGATTGTAGTCACTCGAGATGAAACACAAAATGAGGTAGAATCACGAATACATTTCTAAATATTTCTGATCTACAGTCACCCTATTTAGTATTTGTATGCAATACAAAACATAAAAAATAGTTTGCTATGATGGAGTTGTAACCATTTAAGAACATTTTTACATGTTTATGTCCAGCAGCATTTTTCTAGACATGAAAACCTCAATTAAGGTATGATTTTAGTTTTTAGGACCTTCTCTGGTCACTGATTACACCTGCAAAACTCATATCTGTGTATCAAAGATAGATTTTTTTTTTTCATCTTATCTGGTATTGTGCAAATGATGACTGATGACAGGAAATTACCAAGAGCAATAAAAAATGCAAAACAGTGAATAAAAGGCAGAAATGGAAGTGATAAAACAACACTGTTTTCATGTATTGCTACTTAAGATTTATGAACCAAAATGTGGAGCTCTTGCAATAAACGGAAACTTGGCCGCACTAAATAAAGGTAACATTCATCTCCTGAAGTACTCTAAACAGGACAAAGACAAACAGCGGACACACACAGAGTTCTATTTATACTACGCTGGTTGTCTGCACAGGCAAGCATGTTCGCACATGTGCAGACCCTGGAGGACACAGGCAGATAACACAAAGGCAGAGATCCTCTGTAGAGGTAAACAACAAAACTACTCCCACACAACAGTGTTAAAAAGAGTCAACAGTGGGAGTCACATATATATTAAATTATAAAAAGTAACTTTGCATGGGAATGTGAATTATACCTGTAGCTCCAGCCAAGTCATCAGGAAGCTCTCCTTCTTCTGTCTCCAGGTTCCCAATGAAGTCTACATCGTTCTCCCCTGACCTGTGCAAACATTACAGGAAGATGTAAAGATTTTACCTTAGCAATCTTTGTTATTATCCCTCCATCACAGCTCAGCAAGGAAGAGGAGTCTTTATGTTTTAATTTCCAATGCCTATTGTTTTGTAAAGCCGAGTCAGAAGCCTTACTCACATGGTCTCCTCATCAATGTCATTCTCTTCAGTATTGCTGGTGGCTGTGGAGCTTCCTGAAGTGCTGCTGCCATCCAGCGGGTTCACCTCCTCCTCCGTCAGACAGTCAACCTCCAAGTCACCGTCTGATAGCTCCTGAACAACACAGTCACACCACAATGAACACAGACTCACGGCTTTGATGTAAAGATTATAATTCCTCAAGAGTAACTTCACCAGTGTAATAATCTGTCTTGCCAACAGTATCAGTATGCTTTTGTTACAACCTGGCCAGCAGTCATATGCCAGCATCATGGCACAGTAGTACAAAGCTAAAGGCCACACCTGACCACGGACCTACACATTGCAACTTATAGAACCCTGTTTAGCTAAGTTTTTCCTCCTCCTGAAATGTAGCATGAACTCTTTAAAGGGGACTACTGGAACAACAATGAGAGGCTAACATACAGGATGAGGATCAGCAAATGAAGCCAATTATTGTCAGCCCAAAGGGATCCTTTTGTTTGTTTGTTGTGACCAACTGCAGTGTGGTTAGGGATCTATTAAAACACCTCATGGCACTCAGCTATTAGACTAAAACTAATTTTGTCTCGCAGTTTTGAGACTAACATGACTTTTAATTGACAGACCTGCAGCATGTTCGATTTACCAAAGGAAAAAAAACAAAAAATGTTTGATCTACAAGATTGAACTCATGTTTTTCCAGCTGACCACACTTAAACATATTTTTTCAGTACATTTTTCAAGCTGATAATAAACACAAACACAAGTTCTTAGCTTCCAATTAAAAATGACAACATCTATAGATCAAGCTTTGATGGAGAAAATACTGCATGTTCCCCCGAGCAGCACAATACAAAACTATATCCAACACAGTATATTCCATCCTTACATTAGAGTCATCGTGCTGGGTCCTCTCTTCTTCGTCGCCTTTCTTCGTGTTGTTTAAAGTGGTCTGGAGGTCGTCGTCACTCTTCACTGAGCGAGGGTCTCTTTCAGAGGTTGTGGTTCCGGTAGCGAGCCTCAGGTCGGGGGGCGAGGAGCTGCGAGACGTCTGACGGCGGAACAGCTCAATGGCCAACCTCTGAATCAAAAATATAAACGTTGACATAAATTTTCAAAATAAACAGACACACATCCAGTTACCATTCTTTCCCACCTTAACAGCTTTAGGATTGTTAAAATCTTATTCCCTGCTATCTGACAGAATCATAAACAGTTTCTATTATCATGTTCAAGCTTTTACACAATAATGAAAAATCTCTAATGCTCACACTGACAGAAAAATTCAAACAACGCTGCATTATTTTATATAAATTTCCTTAAAGTGGAACCTTACATATTTGGTATCTTTGGAAACTTTGGAATCTCTGCTTCAATCTAAAGTAATGATTGATTAGCTTGTGAAGACGTGACATTGAATTCAGGTACCCTCACTTCACAAAGCAGTTCTCACTTGGACAGTCTAACAACTTGGATAGATTTAACGGGCATAAAACACACAAACCCAGAAACAGACACACACACACACACACACACACCACACAGACAGAGCACCTCTTTGAGGTTGTTGATCTGCTGGATGTAGCCGCTCTGGGCCGACTCCAGCTGGCTGATGTACCAGTACTGATCTCTGCACTTCTGGAAGAAGGTAGGTGAGCGAACCTGGTAGCTGTGCAGCACACACAAGAACACCACTCTGTTACTCTATGACTCCATAATATCAGAAAGATGCAGGCCAACATGCTTTACAGAATGATGATGGTGTTTGTGTGGATGCTCACCGGAGGACCAGTGTGTCCGTCTGCATGTTCAGGTAGCCCTCGCTGGCCAGAAGGTCCAGTCTGAAGAAGCGGTTGTAGCCCCAACACTCACCAACCTCAAAGTCAGACGCAAACTCTCTAATGATGTTCTTGGTTGGGTCACTGGAGGCCTGATGGACCATCTCCACACGGTACTCATACCTGCACAGATCCAAGATAACATCAGCACACAAGGAAATACATGCAAGAAGTAGAAGTTACTCAGGAGTTTCAGATGTCATTATTTTTAAAGAACTAAATGACAATATGTGCTTGATATTTGGGCATTTAACACAGTTTGCTACATGTGGTTTGTTTTTAAGCTTAAAAAGACTAACTTTGGCAACATATCAAACTAAAATACAGACTTTTATAGTGCTGGTCTTCAGAGATTCTGCTGTGCAGCAGTGATGATCAGTCCAAACAGAATCTCTTGATTTTGAGAGGTATTTGGACCAAAATTACAGAATTGGCTGCAGTTCTTCCTGTAAAGTTGCCAAGAGTCTGCAACCTTTCTGTGTCAATTGGAATTAAGAATACAAACAGCAAGGGAGCACTTTGAATACCAACAAAACACAATGATCCCTTTCGGTACCAAGAAAAATAAACAAGGTGAAAACATTTAAATTCATGTTTTGTTTTGTTTTTTAAACTCAGGATGAAATAACTTTTGATGACTTTCTTAATACAAAGCTGATTTTTCAAACATATCATTAATCTGACTTTAGTTTTTGTGCTGCTAGCCTCCCTGAGTACTTTTGATGTGCTCAGACTTACAATCATTTGAAAGCAGTCTTGCCAGTTCAATAATGACCACTGTAGCCTTTATAAATGAATTATTTATATGTGTATCATCATGAATAGTTATCATTGTGCCTGCATATAAAATCTTTTACATAAGATAATTTAACCCCATGCATAAATGTGAGGAAACAAGACGTTTAGAAAGAGCTTCATGTACAAAAGTAAGACTTGAAGGTCAGAGAGTGGAGCATGAAGGAGAGATTTACTGAAAGAAGTTTGTGGAAAAATGGGGGATTTATTAAAGAAATAATTCATACTTTGATGTTTCAGGAAGTCCAGCAGACAGTTCCAGGAACACAGACAGATAGTTTCCACGGACAACACCATTACCATCCTGAGGAAACACATTATGCATATTAAGAGTTATTAACGTAGAGACAGATGCACTGGTTTTCCAGTGATTTTCTTTTGACAACTTCAGTAACTAATCACTAATATTAGAACGTGTAGCCAGGTTTGAAGAAAAATATCAGCAGAGAGGAAAACTGTGTCAAACTCACTGGATAGACTTTGAGTCTCCAGCAGAGGCCAGATATCTGTAGAGGAGGGCTGTAGACTGGGTCAGCTCGCTGTCTTAATGTACTACAAAAAACAGAAACACAAATATGTTAAACCTTTACACAAACATCTCATCAGCTGAGGCGTTTGTCTATAGCACAACCTCTTGCATGAAATGGGTTGAAGTGACGTGCAGGTTGCATCTGACTGATGTCTGTTCAGTTTTCATTTCAGCATTATTTTTTACTGTCTAGGTCTGCATTGTTTCCACATCATTTCACTGTCAAAATGTTTGCTGGGCTGCTGTAACAACATCGGGATGCTACGAAAGGCTTTTTCTTTTTGAAGGGTTTCATTTGTCATTTCCAATTAAGCGATAACAGCAGCTCAGTACAGCCTATAAATACTGCTCTTTACTTTTTTCTTTTTTATGATGCATTGCACTTCAGAGAGCTGCTGAAGCACTCCAAGTTTAACACGTGTCAACTTTCAAAGTTTAAAAAGCTCTTGAAACAGATTTGATAGTGAGTCGACCTGCTTCAGAGAGCCCCTTATCCTCATTGTCCACAACCACTGGACTTTGTGTTCTCTGCTGTTCTTCCTCACGGTGGTCTACTTTTAATCAGACTCCTTTTAATAAACAAAGTATTTAAATGTTTGCGTTGATGGAACTTCTACCACCATAACAAAGCTGCTTCTGGGAACTGTGTGGCATAAAAGAGATGTGACATTGTGCAGAAGAAGCATTTTATTAGAACATTACATTAGACCACAATAAATAAAATGTTCAAACAGCATGAAAAGCTTCTAAATTACAGATTTACTTATGTAGAATCTTTGTCTTTATTTAAAACTATGCTATCAGCAGAAAAAGATTCTTTACCCATAACCCAATTTCATTCCCTCAAGTGCAATTTGTAATTTAAAGTTAGCATGTTAATTGTTTTTATAGTTGATCTACACAACTCATCTCTTGTGTTTGTGTGGCTGTGGCACATTAATTTTGTGATGTGGGATCATGTTATGTTAGGTAGCCAGTAAAAGAACACAAGGCATTTGCGGTTATTTAATTTATCATTGTACAGTTCTCTGCTCGGCCTGAAAAGCAAACAAAACCTGTACAAAAACAGCACTTTAAATTTCTATATCGGGCAATATCAACTGCATTTAAGGATGCTGTTTAAAGATGGAAAAGTTGAAAACAATTGACGAAAATGTCAATAGCAGAGGTCAATAAGATGTTTAAGAAATGAAGTCTAAAAGAGGATTTACCTGAAGTTGACTAGAACAAAAGTGCTGGAGTCGTAGGCAGGAACCAGCTCACTGAAAGCACAAACAGGAAGGATGAATGCAGATAAAAACACATTGATTAAGGCTTTACTTTACTGTCACTGTCAGGATATTCCCTTTTATATTATGAGTCATAATAATGATTAATGGATTGATCGAAAACATTACAGATAATTGCATTTATTATTAAAGATAAAAATCTTTTATATGCATGTGGTATTTTGCTATTAGACTTGTCCTGTCCTGCAGCCAAGCAGACTACCTGGTGAAGTCTGGAGGTACCGGCGTGGTGACGAAGGACTGCATGGGTTTCCGGTGGACCTGCTGGAACATGAGCAGGATCTCTGGGCTCTTAGAGATCAGTTCACTTTTACTGCACGAGTGAAGCTGTTCAACAAAAACAAAAAGCCAAGTAATCAGTAATGTAGTCACGCTGGATGCCAAAATGCAGCTAAACAATCAATGATGCCAAGTTGTTTTTGGCCTGGATAAAATAATCTATAGAGTTTCTGTCAAAAACAGTTTAGTGTATCTTAGACGTGTAGCAATTTTAGTCTGCTGCTTTATATGCAATGAATGAACTCACTGTGTTACTACGACTGCAGCTTAGCATCCCAGTAGGATAGCAGCACTAGTACTTAGATCAGTACGAAGGAAGCAGTTGGTGTTGCGTTGTTGTTTGGAATTTCACTGGTTGTCAGTAAATTTTGTTGGTCCTTTCAAACTGCCTATGGATTTCTATTTAAGCATTTTCTGCGTATTCACTTAATATCGCAGGTGTTGATAGATCACACCACTCTATTCTCATAATAATCAATTTATAGGTTAGGATATGTCCCTTAAAAAGAGCAAATTATTCTGTTCTATTAAAGATTCACTACTGTAGTCACACCTCTTGCTAAAAACCAAAATATTACAAATATTGCATTGCTTTTGGCCTGATTTGTTTTACAACATGAAATAAATCTCAGAACTCCAGTAATCAATAATGACTTAAACAAGCATACAACATAAAAGGAGGTGTTTACAGTGAATTATCAGCGATACAGCAATCACACTGTTGTTTTTGGTTTTACAGCTTGCAGATATACTGTACAGTTACTTCTGACTGTACACTACCAGCCCTGCACCCTGGATTTCACACAAGCGAAACAAAAATATGTCCAACATCATAAGTAAGTAATTTGTTAGCTTTTTGTTCTTTTGTCCTCCAAAGTGCAGTCATGTGGTTTTAAAGTGCAGCTCCAGGCACAGATTGAAGTCCTAGAAAAATAATCTCTGTGTATCAAAGTTACATATTTACCAGGTTTTTCAATTAAAATAATTGCCCCCTGCTTTAAAATGCCTTAGATGCCCCTCTACATTGTTATTTCATCTAGAATGTGCAGACCTATTAGGTCCCTCTCTCGTTCTCTGGCCACCCCTCCACTGCTCGAGCACACCAGCTCACCTACAACTCTGTTCAAATCATTTATAGCTAGTCTAAATGGAATAATTCAGCTATACATGTTTGATCTGGACACTGATCCTGAAGCAGTAAAGAGATAAAGAAAGTCCCACTATGCAAGTTGGCAGGATTGATTCCTTTTTGTTACATATAAAACTCAGTCATGGTGTTGACTGCTATTTCACTCATATGTCTTCCAGCATTATAAACCACCATAAGGACACATTAACAAGGGGGAAAAAACAGTTCCACAAAACCAGTTTCAGCAAAAATGTAGCTTCTAAATTGAGTAATCTGATAATTAGTCTGATTGTGGGATTCACCTTATAATGTAACACAATAAAGCACCACAAGACAACAAACTGTGGCTTAAAAGAACACCATGGTGCTGAATCAATGGCACAGTATGTGTTGTTGTACTGTATGTGGGTATTTTAGAGCTGGCTGAGCTTTAATGTAGCACAGCTCACAGCAATATGCAGAAGAGCTAAATGAATGGAGGCTTTGATCTGCTGTAGACTACCAACCTGATGCTCCACCTCCTGCAGCAGAGACTCCAGCAGCTCCGTCTCCTGGGTCAAGGACGTCTTCTGGCCTGGTGGGGAGGAACGCATTTCTATTTTCAGCGTACTTGTGCTGAATGTCAGCCCTGATGGAAGCTGGTGAGTGTGAGTGGGCGGGTGTACAGGTTGTGTATGTGGGTGCTGAGTGCATGCTTCCACTCAGTCCAGATAAATATTTCATATGTATATTACCCGTAGCTATAAAAAGGGTGGCTCTCACTGCTTTCAGCAGGGTGTCTGCATATTTTGTTAGGTGAAGGTCCCGACCTTTAGACACATTTTAGCGCCATTCATGACGTCTTGCAACAACAGGAGCCCTTTTCAGACATGGAATGTGTAACCCTGGTGCAACTTCAACCTGATACAATGAAGCGTATTTTGTTATATACAGACACGCACACAGCTGAATTTATTTAGTTGTTGAATATTGACCACAGTAAGTGTGAGGGTGACCCAAACCCTTGCTGCCATTCTGAAGAAATTTTATAACAATTTCATCATTTCTTGTGAGGAGAACTTTGTTGCACACTACTCTTAATTTCTGTTCATTAACATGCTGTGGAGGAAAACTAAATGTTTAACGATGTCATATGTAACTTAGGTAAAACTGTCTCATTCACAGTGTAACCTGCTTTAATAAATCAATTTATTTTCCTTTTAAGTATGAAAGACAACACTGTCTGGACAAATGTATTACTTTGATCTCAATCAGTCTTGCTGTGTATTTATTCTTGTGCCGTTGAAGCCTCCAAGTTAACCTGAGGTCATTCAATTCAAACTTAAACTGTTTTTATTGTGTTACAGAAATGTTTTTGGCTCATCCTGCTAGATTAGATCTGGTTTTAACATGAGATTAGCCAATGTTCTTACAGACAAAAAATCGTGTCTGAAAAGATGGGTCATGTGGGTCATGTGTCCGAGAGAGGCAAAGGATGAATTTAAACTAAGACTAAGGTCAGACGTTGTTCAGATAAAATCTCTGAATCTAAAAACAACTGTGCTTCTCCCATTTCAGGTTGTCTAAATAACTAAACTGAGGATATGAACTGTTGATAAATATAAATGTAGCCAACATAAAAATACTGATAAAAAAAAATCCCCCCTTCAAAAAAAGCACATCACAACTCCCAGGAGTGTCTCATGAACCCAGAATCAGCACGTCTGCCTTGTGACAGTGATGAGTGCAGGAGTCCTACCCATGAGAGTGATGAGTTTGTTCTTGAGCTGGTTGTCCAGACGAGCGATCATCATTTCCACAGCATTTCGGATCTCTCTGACTCTCTCATCCTTCGCTCCCCTGACGGCCTCAACGTTCCTCTCCTGACACAGAAAACACACACAAACACACACACAGGCTGACTAACAAGTTCCATTTCAGCAGTTGAACTTAACCAACAACCTAAAATATTGAGATGTTAGTGCCATCTGGTGGACACCAATACTACCGTACATCCACCTTACATTAACCAACTACAAAATCTTAAATAAATGTAATTAATGTAACACCTACACAATGACTTAATACTTAGATAATTTTATGTTGTGAAGTAAAGTGGTTGTTGAATTACATAAATAATGACCATGGTAGTTATGAATAAAATGCTTTCATGTTGTAAGCAGCCGACATTGACCTGAAACTTTAAAGTGGATCTGGCTGATCACTGTGGTTATTCTCTGGAGTTTTTTCTCTTCCACATCCAACAATAAGACATTTTTTTGAAAAATTCCTTTCTTCACAAGACATGTTAATTTAAAAGTTTAATCTGCTACATTTTTGCCTTCAAAAGCATCACTTGCTGCATTCAGCCTTGCATTGGTTTTTGTTCAGACGTGAACAGTTATAGTCACAGAAGTGTTACAGAAATGCTGCAAGGTCTAATCCAGTAAAACTACATGGTCCGTGACATATTTTAGTTTTATATTTGGAAGCTGGTACAACTGTTACTCTTTGGTACATTCTTATACTGAAGAAATTCAAGAAAAAACAGCCTAAAAGATAAGGAGATATAAGACAAGATCCAAGAACAAATCCTCCAAACAGATTTTGGTGATTTAATGTGGACATGCAGTAATTTTTTCACACACTTAAAATTGCCTTTCAAGGACAAACACATTGCAGTTTAGATCTGTGAAATCTGCCAAAAAACACTTGCTTTAATCAAGTATTATCATGCTTTCATCGAAATGGATTTATTTGATACAGGTATAGACTAAAGAAGAAAAAAAAACAAACAAAAAAAACAAATGAAATATCTAAATGCAAAATAAACATTCTGTTTACCATGTCAGCATCATTGTTAGTAAATGTACAGAGAGGAGGCAGCTCATTAGCTGGAAGAGAAAAATCTGTTTCTGCCTCCAACTTGTCAAACTACTTCCTCTATTTCTGTAACAATACTTAGGCCTGTCACAGTTCTTACATAATCATCTGAATGTAATTATCTGAGCTGAGCCCGATCATTTTGCATAATCATCTGAATCATTTCCATTGAAACTGAAAAACTGGGCGAAAAGAACAAAATGGTCACATTTTAATGACTATTTCCATATCGTTTTCCATCATTTACACCCCCTGCTTCTGCAGCGGTTCTTTGATACCAACCGTTTCTCGAGGTGTTTAACTTCTAATATTTGACCAGCTGCCTTTGGATGAGCGTTTACTGACATCAACGTCCAGGATTTTATGCAAAGTCAAACATTCCAGGCCCAGCACTATCTGTGAGCACACTTCAGTTTTAAGTCAAATAAAAAAGGAGAGCCCAAAACCATGGAGGAGGTGATCTGTCGCAATAAGGTGCCAACAAAAAGGTGCTAAAGCCAATAATTTAAAACTAAGTGGCATAAAATGACCAAAAAAAAAATCATTTGTATGACATTTCATCCTCGACTGAAAGTTCAGGATCGCACAATGCTGCTTTCCATGAGACCTTCAAGACCTGCAGACTTAAAACCTGCACTGACATTTCAGTTTAAAATAGTTCCAGGTGCCCTAATAGCACTACTAACACTGTTAAATTAGTTACCTAATGATTTCAAACAGTAGGATTTAAAACTCCACTATGTAAAACTGTTGTTTTTTTACTGTTTCTGAATGACACTTGCAAACAAAAAGGGTGTTAAATATGTGGGCAGCAATTATGCTCATGACCACATCTCATGAATACACATGAGCAAATTACACCAATCAAGTCAAAAAAAAAAGAGCAGTAAAAGAATCTTGATGAAAGAGCCTCAACAAGGTCTCAGAAAAAGTGAGATTTAGTGAAAGTATAGAAAAATGTTCTTGCATGAAGCCCTTTGTGTGAGGAGGGAAGTCTACCGTGTCCAAACAGAAAGGTTTCATTCTCTCTAGAGTGAATGTGCTAAATAAATGTCACAGCCATTCATTTGGTTTTTTCTGGAGTTTTATGTACAAAAAAGGAACAAGTCATACTCACCACTTCTTGCACCAGACTGATGAGCTCCATGAGGCGGCGGCGCAGCTTGGCAACCTCCTCCTTCACCTTGGTCACGTGCTGCTCGTAAATCTCCACCAGAGGCTTGAAGGTGTGGCCTCCATGCTGGAAACAACAAAGTCACTCTCAGGTTCCAGCTACTCATACGTGAACATTCACTGCTTTCTTCCATTTTATATAAATTTAAAATGAATATTTTGGAGATTTTGACTGTTAGGTAGAATAATCACATCACATCAGGTATTAGGAAGTTGTCATAGGCATTTTTAACCATTTCTGACAGTTTTAAACAGAACTATTAAAATAAAAAAACAAAAAATCCGCAGACTAACCAATAAGTAAATTAATCATTAGATGCAGCCTTTCTTTTCCTTTATGGAGAACTGTGGGTGATTAGTATGGGTGCCTCTATGCTTAACATAAAAATAAAAGATGTGAAAATGTTACCATGCCTCCCCACAGAGCACACTGGTGGCAGATGCATTTTTTGCAGGTCCAACAGAAAACACTCAGCTTCTCATGGTGGTTCTCACATCTGCAGAGGAAAAATCCCACCACATGTCAGACAGAAAGAAACACCTTTTCTAGAAACCTTTTTTATGTTTTGCAAAAACAGCAGAACTGGTGTTCAGTTTGCATTAAGTCTTCCTTTATGTAATTTAAGTATCACAGAAAATACATGCATCTTCAAATACAGAGAGAAGTCGTGTTCATTTTACACGCAGGTAGCAAAGCTCTGGGACAGGATTTTTTTTTTTTTTTTTCTCAAAAAGCCAAATAGGACAGCTGTTAAACACAGATTCCATGCTCATACAGTGAACTCATTTGCATCACGGTGAGCGCTCTCAGTATGAGTCCTGACTTCCATTAAAGCTGTGGGGACATTTTTATTTTAAGCAGAAGCAAAGTCCCTCTAGAGCGAGTCTCGCCACTTGGCAGCCTTCTTTGTAACGCCTCCAGGCAGTTATTTCGGGCTAACAATCTACATGAATGAGGAGAGAGGCATAACTGCGATTTCCAAGGTGCTTCAAACAGCATGTGTAGACTCAACAGTCAAATCTTATGACAAGTGTTTTAAAAGTTCAATGACTTTTTCCCAAAATCAGATATAAAAAAAACGTTTTTCCCCACAAGTTATCTTACACTATTGATGTGCAACGGTTAATGCAACAACATGATAGGCTGGATGTTTTACATTTCGGCTGTTATAAAGCAGATGATTGGCCTTTTGAAGTGTCATAAAACCACTATCTTTGGCGTTATGGGATTCTGTAGTCAGTTTCTATTCAGTATTATTTTAGTGCTGAGTCTCTACCGTATAACATCTCTGGTGGAAAAAAAATCACATGATTACAAGTGTTTAAAGGCCTCAAAGGTGCTGTATGTTTTAAAGTAAGGTTGTTCTACTGTCACATAGCCTACCAAATATGAAACAAATAGACATCCTCATAATAGAATAAACATAATTTACTAAATTAATTTTCTGCAGTTTGTGTTTATGGAGAGAAATCCTGCAAAGAGAATTATATATTCCCAGGAAGTCAAATTTAAAAATCACTAGAAAAGCTTTAAAAAAAAAAAAAAAAAAAACACACACACACAACTGGAGAACGAGATAAGAATTGAAAGTTTCAGCAGTTGCTCACTTGTCCTTGTCGTTGTCCTCATGCTTGGTGAGGCTGCAGAGCTGCAGGGTATCCAGCTGCTGGGTGACCTCTTCTGCCCAGCGACAGTTGACCAGCTCCCTTAGCTGAAGCGGAGCTCTGCATGTAGAAGTATGCACAAGAATTTCACTACTTTGCACACACCTTACAACATAAATCCACCTTAGTAAAGCCACCTTAGTGAAACTGAAACCAGCGGCTGTTTGCTTCCTTCACTGGTGTTATTATCGCCCATAGAACACAGTAATGGAACACACTGGTACACGACACAGTTTTAAATGGTTTTGAAAGCATTCCAATGGAAAAGCTGTTTTTATTAATCTTTCCTTTTTATTGTTTGACTCAGGTCATGTTATGTTTTTATCAGTTGTTGTATGTCATCACTGTGGTGATATTGTGTCCTGAGGTTGTAAACTCAAAGCAAATTTATACCAAACATGCTGAAATGGCAATAAAGTATTGCAGAAAGATGAAACTGAGGCAAAGCCCACTTGTGCACAGGTATTTCTTAATCATCAGGAAATAAGGGAATCATATATGTGGACTAATTTTGAACCTTCTGGTGTTCTATTAGTGTGTGGAAATGTAACTGCATATGTGTAAACCAAAAAGTTCTGTTTTGGCCACAACCAGCTATTGCAAAAAATAAATAAATAAATTGCTTTATGTCAACCACGGAGGTAACAGCCCAGACAAGAAATGACAAGCCAGAGTAAAAACTGCTGATGGAGTAATTCATTACCTTCACCCTGGAGTGACTTTTTCAACAACTAAAACTGTGTTTGTCTGGACAAAAGGTCAAAACACACAAAAGGCTATGTTTTTTTAAAAAATACCATGTATGAGTGGACATGGCCTGAATGTAATGTGATATGTGAGGCAGTATGGAGGATGGCAGGTTGGCAGGAACTTACCGACAGTGTGGACACTGGGCTCTCTGCTCTGTCAACCATCGCTGTCAAACAACAAATTCCAGCTCAAATACAGTGTTGAAACACAACCAGTGCAAACACGCTAACATTGTCAAATGTGTGTGAATTTAAGAAACAGCTGAATTAAGTGCACTCTTATCTTAACAACAAACTGGTTCGAACAAGTGTAAATGTAGGCAGAGACTAATAGATCTAATTCCTCTTGCTGCCCTTAAGTGCACATACACCTTTCCTTAAACCCCCCAAAATGAAGCCTATGTTTGCCTGCTTCACTAGAAGTGCAGATATTCAAATATATACATAATTACATCCAGAATTTACTGCCATTAGCATGATTCAGGGCGGTGCTGTGAAGAGAACATTTCTGGTCAATGCTTGTTCTAAACAGACTTACTCGTATGCAGCTGAAGCAGCAGAGTTTGGAGCAATGTGGGCAGAGACGAGCATCCCTCAGTTTCTCCATGCAGATGAAGCAGCGAAACACCTCGGCGATGCTCTGCACAGGGACAAACAAAGAGTTTTACACTAACTGCAGCAGCAGAACTCACCACATCAGTCAGACATAGTGTGAATAAAAACATCACAGTTTCACAAAAGTAAGCAGCGGAAGTAATGATTGTGCTGTTGTACTTCACAAGTGTAAAGAGATAAAATAGTGTATACTGCAATAATGTAGTAATTGTAAAGCATTCTGGTATAGTATGTGTGATACATACCTCAACACTTTGTTCATCCATTTCAGCCAGTTTGAAGGTCTTGAGCTCAGGGATAAATCAAACAGGGGGTCTAAAAAGAAAAGTTGAAGAAACCATCTTTAATTGTGTGTTACGTGCAGGCATTCCAGGATTCACACAGCTTTTGTACCCATTTGTACTCTAACATGCAGCTTACTCAAGTGAGACATGCATCATCACAAACATGTATGGAGGGATTGTTGTTGTAATTCCATTTAAATAAAAGGTCCAATAATTGATCAATCAATCAACACAAAATTACTTGGCAGCTATTTTGATAAATCGATTAACTGCACTGAAAAGGATGACGTGGTCACAGAAAGTAATGCAATGTTAGTTGTATAAACACTTCAGCTACAGACAAGATGATGTTGCCCAATAACGGGCACTCTGTTAACAGTGTCTTGCAGTCGGTCACTACATAAGGCAACAAAAATAATTTGTTTAACAATTCAAATTTGTGCACGATAAGTGTAAAGCCAGATCTGAATGCTATCCAAGGCAAAAAAAACTCCTTTGGGCGCCCCTGCCAGTGTGACACCGTCAGAGTAAAGTTAAAAACTGATACACTTTCCTACAACAATCATTATATAATGAGTAATTCTTTACAAATAGCTGTTCGAGTCATCTGCTAAAAACATTTTGTTTTCATATTATACAATACTTCGTAGAAAAATAAATGCAATGTTTGTTTTCGCCAATATTGTGCAGTCCTTGGAAAACTGAATTCTGGGTTCTGCAAAATTGTGATAACAGCTTTTAATAATATTTTTCCACATACAACAGATTTAAAGAGGGTAACACTGAGCAGCTCAATCGCTGATTAAACTAATAATTACTTGCAGCTTTACACTGCAGCATAATGATGTGGATGTAAGCAATGTGGAGCTGTCATACTTTACGGTATAAACCCTAACCCTATTTTAAGTGGTCGTTCAATACAAGTGCTGAAGTTGTACATAAGTAATAATAAACAGAGTTTTCTCTGCCACAAGGTGCTGCCATCAACGTTAGTCAGTGCCAAACTGCCAGCCAACCTGAGAGGCCCAGCATCAACAGACACAGACCATCAACCTGTCCGACAACAAGCATGACATGAACTATCGTTCGTCGGAAGAGCAGCTGTGTGTATCAGCATGCATGGCTGGGATAAGGGAGAGTAGCCCGAATTAAACACAGAAAATATTAATGTGGAGCTGTGAGGCCAGCTAGCTTGCTGGCATTAGCAGGGTGGCTCACTCACCTCCCCCAGAGACTCGGCTTCGTCTGTCACACCTGATAAACAGACCGCAGCAAAAGAGCTACATCATATTATACTGTTTCCACAGTTCAGCTCCCGGTAAAACGCTCAAATGCTGCTCAGTTCAGCTGCGACGAGGCAGAATTTGCGCTAAGCCCCAGCAGGGACGTTAAACGGCTGCTTTCTGCCCTAAATTGAGGATGTAGCGGAGCGGTTGCTCTGAGGCTGTCTGTCCCCTAGCAATAACCAATCAAATGGCTCCGTTTCTTCTTCTGCTTATTTTAGTGTTTCGCGTTTGTCAGAAAGGTTGAGGAGCTTCAGCGCCACCTCGCGGACCAACGACAGAATGGCAGAGGGGAATTACAGACAGGTATACAACAGCACAGAGTGTGAGTATTTGGATTTACTCAAACACAAGAAAATGCTGCATTTAACATGGTTTTTTCAGTTTAAAGGAATGTGTGTAATTTTAAAAGCCTATAATGAGAATTTAATGTCGCTAAGCAGTAAAATAAACCATGTAGCAGTATTTAAAATAAGTAAATATAGTTTTGCTACATCAAGCTACAAGATATGCAACTTGTGTTGGTCCATCAATATTAAAGTAAAAGAATAATATCTATAAAATGTAAGACTGACAGAGCCCATTTTGTAGTTTTGTATTTCTATGCTTTAAGTAATTTTTTTCTGATTATAATTATTGAAGACTTTTACCACTGTATTGTATTGTATGGTAAATTGTGGTACTGCTATTTTTACATACGTGAATGATATTAATACATCTCTCACCAATGTTTTGTTGAATGTTTAAGCTGAGAGTGGATTAAAAGTCTGCTAAACTTTTCTGCAACAATTTTGATTGGCATTTAATTTTTAAATTCAAAATCTTGGGTTCATGCTGTACATCATGTCTCTGCTGTCTTTTACATGAGGGAATGCAATGCCTAAAATAAATTCACAATCAATATAAGTTACAATATCTCTGGGTTGTTAACTATTGTTCAAATAAAGTAAGCAACCTAAAAAATCACCTTGAGCTCTGGGAAACCCATGCAGGGATTTTTTAAAAACTTTTTAGATAGATTATTGTTACCCTTCAAAGAATTTTCTGTTCAAGGTGTGTGCTTTGTTAAGATTACAACATAGTGCCACAAATGCAGCGCCTTTACTTTACTATGTATACTTTTATCTTAAGATCCTTTCAATGTTAATTGAACATGTTTTCTTATTGCTTTATCTTCATCAGTAACTAATAAACAAAACTTTGACGTCAGAAGTCACTGCTGGAAGCCCATTTATACCAGAAAAAGAAAAATACATTTAACAAATCAAATATCACAAATAGCAAAAAGAGTCTGAGATAATAAGTCAAAAATACGTCTGGATTTATATGCCAAATTTTACGCCTTTATTTAACCATTTTGACCTCTTATGTCAGAAGTATTGACCTGATATATGAAAATCAGCAAGAGTCGGTTTATCAAGATGCTCCCATTGCCGACACGCGCTGAGCTATCTCAGCCGGCAGAAACAATACAAACATCACCTTGTTATCCAAAGCACCCTGAGGATGACTCTACTCAGCCTTTTTGTGTGGACACATACATGCACACACACACACACACACACACACACACACACACATGCTGTACATTCGCAGTAACCCCATTGTTATTTTATGCAAACAATCTGAAGCTGGATAGGACGCACAGAGGCCTATGCAAATCAGCCTATCAGCCAGTGCAGGGTGTACTGCAGAGGTGAACGCTTTTCCACTTAGGAAAATGCTGATGAGCAGCCGTGGATTTCCAAAACTTTGGATCCCAACACTTGCGTCCTTTTGAATAATCAGGGAAGCAGAAGGTAGCTGGAGCAGCACAGACGATTTACCTGAGGTGAGTCACTATTTTAGCAGTAACTCCTTATTATCTTTATTATTTCTTGCTGCACACATGAGCTGAGTGTTAATAAAAGTTCCCGCGCAGTGAGGTGGAGATGGAGATGAGTGTGGCGGCAGCACTTTATGGGAAAATCTGCTTATGAATATTACAAGTGGGAATCACGCAGGACTGTGTCGAGTTTGTGTGGTGGTGCGGAGGGGAGGGCGCATTAGAATAAACTCAAGATCATTTTCCTGGGTGGCCTGACTGCTTCATTGTCCTGGTAAAGTTACAATCCTGTAGGAAAATCAGCTATATTTATCATTACAGATATTAAGATGAGCGCAGACACGGTGGAGCAGTCGGACGCTCCAGCTGAACAGGCAGGTAAGGACGTTTCACCTTCCTCATGTAAACACGGCCGAATGATCTCAACACATAGATTAGTTCAACAGATAATAGTGAGGAGAGCTGCTCTGTTTATCCTGGCACTGTTTCTGGAGAGAGAGTTTGCTCATTTTCTTGACATCTAGAAAGTTACATTTTCATTACACCTGTTCTTCTCTTAAGGACTAAAACATGTTAAGTGTCACTTTAAATGTGTACAAAAACTCAGGAAAATATACTATTAACTGGGTTATTTGAAAGGATATAGGTGTTCAAAGTATGCCAGTAAAATATCTTTCAACATATTTAATCCTGCCTTTTAGATTCTTGATTTTAGTTACATTGACAGAGTTCTTGGTTCTCGGTTTTGTCGCTGTTCAATCATCTTTAGTGCAGAAACATTTACTGTTGTGTTGAAGCAACAATGACCAGTAGTGTACAAATACAAGTGAAACAAGTAGCATTTTGATCTGCTCCTGGTTCGTAGGAAACTGTTGTATGTGTGTGTGGGTTCATGTATGTGTATAAATGTGTGTGTGTTTGGATACTGTGGCAGTCGGTTGCTGCACCAGGATGCACCTGAGGCTGTTTGCTGAGAAACACTTGCTGCCCAGGGGCTGAAAACGCACAGAACCAGGAACCAGCCATAGAAAATGTGGCACTTTTTTGTAGACAATAGCTGCATGAGAGAAGTGCTACATGTCTGCGTTTTTGTCAGAATATGACCACAGCTTTGATTTTTCATTTAATTCAAAAGAAGCTTTCTTGCTGCTCATTATTAGTCATGTCTTCCATTTTAAAGTGTTGCTGAACCTATATTAAAAAACATAGGTGTCCATGTCATTCCAATTTCTTCACATTTTTAGATGAGATTTCTGCCTCCCCTCCTGTGCAATGGAGGTGAACAGAATTTCATGTTAAAAAATTCCTTATATGAATTCTCAATGAGGTTGCTCTGCATTCAGTTTTCAATTTCTTTCCAACACAAACACACACACACACACACACACACACACACACAAAATGCTATTTATTGTTTTAACGTCATTTTTAAAGGCTGAGATCACCACAAGCAAAATTGCATTCACCTCCTTTGTACTGGTGTGTGGACAGAAATCTCAGAGACAAACCTAAACAAATAAAAGCAAATATATCTGCATGGAGAGTTACCGCTAGATGCAAGTCAGAGAATGTGTTTTGTTTAGGTTTTTTTGGTAATTTGTGTGAAGAAACTCTTTGACCTTGTGTGTTTTGAGATCCACTGAAGGCAGATCCGTACCTGCTCACTTTGTGCAAACCTTTCCCCCAGAAACTGTGTTCAGCAGCAGCGTTTTTTTGAATGGATGACATACGTACTTCAGCTTGTATCCAGAGTCCTGTGTGTATTTGCATTGATACATTCTGTCTCATGCTTTAAAGATCCCCTTAGGTACAAATCTGTTTTGTTTTATTTTTGTTTTTTTTGAAGTTTCAAACATGTCCATACGGTGATTTTTAAATACTGGCAGCACATCATGAACGACCTAAACAGTCAACCTCATGGATGAGCATTGTACCAATGACAGTTTTAAAAATATAGATTCAGACTTCCCGGGTTTTCTAAGTAAGAAATCTAAAGAATTAATGTGGTCAATATGCAGGGTGGGGCTTTCTCTGTCATTATTCGTCTTCAGAATCAGTGTCCAGTTTGACCATTCACAGCTGAACTACTCCAGTATTAGAACCTGTGCATCATAGAGTACTTCAGCAGTGTTTGAGCAGAATTGTAGGTGAGCTGGTGTGCTGGAGCTGCAGTGAGTAGGGAGGGGATCAATGGAGAGAGAGGCAGGGGTTTTATAAGTCATTTTAAGACAGAAAGGGGATATTTTCATAGACAAAACTTCTAACATTCACATGCTACTACGCAACTAATAATATTAAAATATATGGAAAAAAGTAAGTGGACCTCTCAAGTGTATTTTACCAAGTTGATAAATAACAGGCCATGGAGAAAATTAAGGTAAAAGGGTTAAATATGTTTTTTAAATCTTTTTTTTTCTTTTTTTTTGAATTTTAATGAAACAGGGACTTGTTGAGCAGGTAAGTCCCTCTTCCATACTGCTTACTACTGTAAGTGGGCTTTGAGAAAGTGAAGACTCAGCTAAAGGCAGATCTAAAAAAATCAATAATAATAAGCTTAAACAATAATAATATATCATATCAGTCTGTGCCATTGAAATTAATTGTTGTACAAAAACTATTAAAAACCCAACAATAAAGATTCACTTTGTAGTTTATTTCAACTAAATCCTGCCCGCACAGCCCTGCTGCCATAAATCCTCACCAAAAGCAAAATAAAATAGGTACTAATCTTCAGCTAAAAATTAGTCAGTAACAAGTACACTCCGTTAATGTTTGCTATAAACTACAGTCTTCACAAATGGTCTAAATGTATATTTTGGAATAATTTTTAAAGATCTGTTTTTACTAGGAAGAGGTAGTTTTGAGTCAGGGTGCCACAGACTTCACTGTGGGAGGGTTAGAAAATATTTAGAGATTAGATTGAAACTAACAGTGTGCTAGGTCTTTATGGAATTTGTTGACACATACAGAATATTGTATAATTTCCTGTCAACACAAAATGGAATTGTTGCGGTGGGTTCATTGCATATATTCCAACATTGTACTCTGATAAGTTTACAGTGCATACTATCATACGATTAGTATGTAGTGTGGGATCAGGAAACCACTTCTTTAAAAACGTCGAACCCACAAGATGAGAGAACTGAGCCTTAAGAGATTATCTCAATTTGTTTGGTTTTAAGACACAATTTTAGGGTAGTAATAGACAAAAAGACAAATTTTTGCACTGGTGTGTAACCATCGTCTTTAGTGTGTGTGTGTGTGTGTGTGTGTGTGTGTGTGTGTGTGTGTGTGTGTGTGCAGACACAGGCTTCCTGCACTCAGAGCTGCTGATTTGCATGTCTTGGTCATTTCCATACTGGAAGCTTGGTTGTGAAGCCGGCTGTGCTGTGGGGGGAGGTGGGGATGGGGTGCTGGTGACATGGTGAGGGGTTATAGGTGTATTTGCATTGTGTGTCTCCAGCAGCTCACGGCCTCTCTCTCTCACACACACACACACAAACACACACATAGACACACACACAGTCCAGAAGGGCCAATTTGACATTCAAATGATGTGAGCTTATCCAGCACACCTTTGTACTCTCCTCCTCTGCGAGCTCTCTCCCCGTCCTCTCCATATACGCTCAACATCTGTCTTCTAGAAAAGGCTTGTCATAAGTCCGTTTTTGAATACAGAACAAGTGTGAACAATCAGCAGGAGCAGAGGAAGTATTCAGATCCTTTATGTACATTGAAGTACACCTACACAACAATATTCCTGAAAATGTCACTGAAGTGTGTGTAATAATGTATTTCACCTCTCTGTACTGGGATCAGGCTTATCTGTAAACACAACTGGTGCCATTTTTTGAAAGTTGCCCAGAGTCCACCTGTACTACTTTGACTAAATTGGATACAACATTTGCTCTGCTTCATGTCTCTTCAATCAAATTTGGTAGGTTGCAGATTAGAATTTTAAAACAGTAACATAAGTGTCACTGAATCACTGTTCAAAGAAAGTCATATATTCCCTATTTTACAGATGTGATGAGAGTAAAAATAGAAGTGTTTCAGTTTTTAAATCTCCCTCTGACCTGGTGACAAGGATAAGGAAACTTATATTTTAAAATTGCACTTCTCTTAAGTGTCTTTTAACCACAGAACCCAGGGTTGTTTATTTTGGCCTCAGTGTTGCAGCTGTTAAAGACCACATTTGCAGACCTTTTTTGGGTAAATCTTTCCGGAAAATAAGGTTATAGAGGCTTTAACGATTTCAATGACTAGAAAAATTACTATTTTTATTATGTATTAATTTGGTGACAAGTTTCTTTATTAACTCATTGTTTTAGTTGGCCTTGGTATTTTAGAAAATACTAAGACACGATCATCACTGTTAAATATATATCAAAATACTACCAAAGTGATGCCTTCAAAATGGTTTGTTTTGTTTGATTAATAGTCAAACCTCAACACTATTTAGTTTACTGTAATTTAAGACAAGCAAAAGCAGCAAATCTTTAGTTATAAGAACTTAAACCTTGAAAAATAACTTTAATTATTAAAAAAAAAAAAAAAACAAAAAAAAACAGCATTGTATGCAAAATCTGAACTGATAATAATAGTTAACTCTTGTTCCCAAATAAATATCTACCTGCATGAAAACAAGAGAACCCTTTAGAGTCTAATTACTGAGACCCATGGCAGATTATTCAAACATGCTATTTGTGCTATGAATTTGTTTTTGTGGTTTGTAGTTCTGTTGATGTAGCTATTTATGTTGTGGTTTACCATTATCTGTTTTATGCACTTTTTTAATATTTTAACTTAGCACCATGCTATAAAAATTGTTTTTAAAGCAACATGCAATTGTTTTGAATGGTGTATTTTATAGACACATCATTAAAATGTTTTTCAATGCCAGATAGATTTTTCAGTAATATTTTGATTTAATTTGAAATACAGTTAGATTAAAGAAACATGCCAATGCAGCTGAAGCTGCATAATGACAAAACATGCATAAAATATAACCCTGAAAGTAAAGTCATACATATGTAGCTAACATTGAATGGTTAGAATCTTAACAATAATCTTTATATAATTTGTTCTGAATGTCACATTTTAAAAATCTGAATTTCTTTTTCTCTTTTAACACTTAGAGCGAAACGGAATCGACTTCAATCGACAAGTAAGTACCAGAGCTCCTATATCACTTTGTGCGCTCACACTCCCAAAAAGGAGGTCTTTGTCATCAGCAGGGCGACGTGCATTGCTTTGTTTAATTGTAGAAACAATTTCCTGTTAGCTCACATGCAAAGTGATGTTTGTTTCCAGCACAGTGGGTGAAACTCGATGGTGCATTTGAAGGACAAACATTGATCACGTCATTTGTTATTTCTTTAAAAAAATAAAAGTTAATTCATACTCATGCTGTTACATGACCCCTCTCAATCAATATGTGTAGCTTTTGTTTCAGTAATTTTTGCTTTTTAGATAAATGAAAGTGCTATTTTTCACTGACTAGAAGCAGCAGACAGGAACAGGAGCATCAAGAGAAAGCAAAGATTCAACTGCACTACTGGGATATTATTACACCAGAGATCTTACTGTTAGATGTTAAAGGAAATTCTTTTTATTAGTTACAGTCTACATGCCCGCATGTGTTGCTTACCCACCCTGCATGTAGCACTCACTCTCAATAGGTCTTTATAAACAGTCCCCTGACAAACAGTTGATATTTAAAAGCTCCATTAACTTCCTAAAACAGCTGTCATTGTAGTTCTTAGTAAACATTACTCAAAGGGGAGCAAATAATGCATTTTGGCACACTTCTCAAGGTGAATTAATATATATTTGGTGCTCCAGTGGCATAATGTCCAACCTTTGTGGCTTGTGACCAGTTAAAGCAAATCATCAGTCATACAAACCTTTGTTCAAGTTGTAAAACATTTGGCCAAAAGCCACATTTTCACCACAGAACTCACAGCAGCCATCTTGGTAACATCTCCCAGTAATTATTTCAGGCTAACAAGACCAAGCACCCATCTCAATGAATAGGGAGAGAGTCATACAGTAAGGGCAATGTCAACGCTCACCATGACATAAAAACTGCATATAACTTTGGCACAAAATATGGTTTAAAAAGTCTTTTCCCTCACAGCATGCACTTCTACTAAACATGCGCTCACATGTTTCATAACATCATGTTTGCATCAGTGCTACAAAGACAACTGGCTGGATGTTTCCTGGTTCGGCTGTTAAATTCAACAAATTAGATGATTAGCCATTTGGAGGTAGGGGTGGGACATGTGACCTAAAACCACCATCTAAGGGAATCCCATAGTTTTCTATTTAGGATATAACGTCTCTGCAGCTGAGAACATTTTGAAGAGGTTAGTTCGCCAAGGGAGATCATTTCATCCCCTTAAAAAGGTCCTCCTCAGTGGATGTTAGTTTCTAAAGATTCAAGAATTTTTGGATTTGGCCTGCAGGGCTGAATGTCCCTGCGTTGTTCAAATATGCTCACATTTCCCAACATCTTACAACTGCAGCTTTTAAAAACCAACATCTGTGGATCATTTTATTCTTTGATGCAACAAATACGAAGCTACAGAAGAAATTCTAAGTTAAATGAACCCACAACGAAGTCCATGCTTTGCTGAGCATTTATGCAGAAAAAGACAGCCAGCAGGAATTCAAGGCTCATCCAAACTAATACATTTTAAAAGGAAAACGATTTCCATCCAGATGAACATTTTAGCTCCATTTCTCAAATAATCTTCCTGCATGCCAACATGAAAAGGCATATCTCATGACCATTCATGTACTGGGAAAGTGCTGGTGTAAATGTAAAGCAAAGGGTTGGTTGCATAGCTGTAGAAAATACTACAAAGGAAGAGTAGCAATGGCAAAACGTCAAACTAGAGATTTCCTTAACTGCACAACAACTACTAGCAGAGACAAGTTAAGCCAGGCCTGTAACCTCATTCTGTGCCTTTACTGCACTAACCACTGGTAGTCACAGCGAATGTCTTTTCATGAGTCACGTAGTTGGAGTGTGACAAATCAGGGACCAGTCCTGGCATGAAAGTGACAGTTTTGACTAATTAAATAGTGAACTCAGGTGACATCATTTTCAAAAATCTCCACTGCTGAATGTCCAGACAACAATACAACTCTGGAGTTTTCAAATTAAAACATGGTCAGTAGCATTCCCAAAAAAAAACAACCCTGGACTAGTATGGATGCTAGGCATGAACGTGGCAGATGTTATGCGTTTTAAGAAGAGATCGTATTAGTGTGGATGTAAGCAGAGCCTGAGATCCACAATAAGAAGGGCGGCCTTTAATGTTAATCAGTGTTTTGCATTGCCACTGGTGAAAATGACACAGTAAAACAGCTTTTTGAAATGTCAGCTGACTAATTTGCCTAATCCTCGCTGGGCTTGAGACTGCAGTAAAAATGGAATCGAAGGAACTTTACCTGCTTGGAAAGTGCCTTGTGTTGGAGGAAATGTAGCATCAAAAGCGACGTTTCCCTCTCAGGTTTATACATTTGGACATTTTTTAGGGGACTTAGGTAGCAAAACTAATTGATTAGTTAATCATTTAATTTATCATATAGCATTTTCAGCAAAAATGACTTAACAGGGTGTAAATAGTGAATTTGTTGGACACTATTTTCCGCTTTGGATTAATCCACATTTGGTGCTTTAGTGAGTAGCAGGACAGTTTATATGGGACTGAAAATAAACAACAGTTTCATAGTTAGGATGCTTAGTGGCACTAATTGTTAGTTGGATCAATTAATTGTTTGTCTAATAGTATTTGTTGATAATAAGAAGATTCTAATTAATTGAAAGATTTAACAAAGAAGCTCATTGGTATCTTAGCGCCATGGAAATAGGGCTGAATGTACTTGAACCTAAGACATAACAATCAACTGACTTTCAGACAGCTAACACCCTCAGGATAAACTACCTGCTCAACCTACAGATGTCAATATGAATGCCCTCACAGCAGAAACAGATCAAATAGTTTGCAGCTATTTGGATACTTCTACAAATATTCTTTTTGGTCCAGCAGAACATTTCTGTCAGTGCTCGTGTTTTCAGGAAGTATCACAGCTTTCAGGGGTTAGTCAGTGGAGGAGTGAGGGGGAGGGATATTTGCATACTGGCTTGCCCAAAGGGACTGAGAGAGTCTATCAGTCTTTGTATCATGTTCAGTGACCAAACTGGTCCTGGAGCGAGTACAGAGTCTCCATGTGTGTGCTCTGTTTCTGTACGCAGCACACGCACATATTGTCAGACTTGTGAACTCTTTGAACCCTGAAAGTACACACTGACAAAGTTTCCCATCCTCTCTGCTCTGCAAAACTGATCCTATCTTGTTATTTATTCTACTCAGTTGATAGTTTGCTTGTGTTTTCCATGTTTTAGATAAAGACGGAGGACATCAACGACTCGCCTCATTCAGTCGCCACACTGAAGACATGTCACCTGACTCAGAGCTCTCCGGTGCATGGAGGTCAGCTCACTGGGGTAAGATCAGAACTCTGGAGAATTTTGTGAAGTCTCATAAAATGACCTTCATGGTCTCTTGGTGGTCATTGGAAAGGAAATCTTTTTGGAATTTGATCCGTTTCAGGGGCCAAATGTCAGAACATCTCACCAATCTGCTGCACTGATTCTAATCATGTTATTAAAAGTCTGTTTCTCTTTATGGAGGTGCAGTAATAAATTGTTGCAATGCCCCTTTAAATAACACAAGTATCCTGCATATTGTCACTCACATGTATGGCGTTTTTCCATCTTGCACACCTATTATTAAATCTTTATGATGTGCAGGAAGTTGTCACAATACTTTTTTCAGTCAAGCAATTCCTTAAAATTATCACAGTGTTTTTCACTGATATAGTAAATAAAAAATAAATAAATAAATATATTATTACATTGTTTGCATTTTCAGACTTACAGAAAATTTGATTTTAAGATCTGAACATGAAGAAATCAATTATATTCAGTAATGAAAACAATTGCCGATTATTTTCACTTATATTAAATATGATTTAATAATATCTGGCAAAATTTTACATTTTAAAATAACAATTTATCATTAATTGCATGTTTTTACTGACAAAATGGCATACTACCACAAAATGTAATTTATTTTAATGATTTGACAAAACAAGATATTTTATCACTGTATATATATATTTTTTACTTTATATAAACTTTGAAGTTTTAACCTGTATGTGAAGAGTCTCAGTCATCCACGTCATGGTTCTTCTGGTAGATTAATCGTAGCAACTGGACTAGCTTGAGTTTGTTGAAGATGTTTCACCTCTCATGCAAGAGGCTTCATCAGTTCTGACTGACTAGCTGGAGATCCAGATACTTATATCCCAAGGATCCATTAACACCTGAGTGTCCGTTTCATTTAGGGGTTTGTTACTCCTCCCCCTCCTTATGTGAGTCGTTAGTGCTCCCCCTGCCACAATGGGGTTCGTTAGGGTCTTTTGTGGCTGGGTGTGAATGTGGTTTCATCTTCCTGGGGAGAGATCTTAGGACTGAATTGTAAACCGGTGAGAGATGATGCCTCAGACCTCCACCTCAGTTGAGGGATGGTCTTTCCAGTTCGACATAGATGGCTTCTTTCACCCCTCTCTCAAACCATCTGTCCTCCCTGGCCAAAATCTGTATGTTGTTGTCTTCGAATGAGTGTCCTTTGTCCTTGAGATGCAGGTGGACTGCTGAGTCCCGTCCTGAAGAGGTGGCTCTTCTGTGCTGAGCCATGCGCTTGTGGAGCAGTTGTTTTGTCTCCCCAGTGTACAGGTCTGGGCATTCCTCGCTGCACTGGACTGCGTACACCAAGTTGCTTTGTTTGTGTCTTGGGGTCTTGTCTTTAGGGTGGACCAGCTTCTGTCTCAGGGTTTTGGTGGACTTGAAATGAACTAGAATATTGTGTTTGTTGAAAATCCTCCTGAGCTTCTCAGAAACTCCTGCAACATAGGGGATGATTATGTTGTTTCGTTTCTTGGTCTTTTCTTCTCTATCTCTATCTCTTTAACCTGTAGCAAATCATCATATTTTATACTTTGATAATATGTATTGTTTGATATGTTGGATCAGAATTATAAAGAAGCTTAACATTTGCATTATGTGAATGTATTTTCGACCCTTGCAGAGTGCTCATACAAAGTGCATTCACTTCAAACTGGACCCTGAAATCTCTTCCATGTGCTGGTGATTCCTTACCTTTTGTGTCTTTTTTCTGTCTTTGCTCCAGGAGCTCACCTCCCTCCACACCATGCAGCAGCTGGTTCTGATGCCACCTTCTCACTTGTCTGCTCCCTCCCCCTTCCTGCTCTCACAGAGTCCCTCCAGTCACCAAGGTGGAGTCTCAAAACACTTTGTACTAAGTCAGATCAACACATCTGCAACCAGAGGATTTTACAACTTAGTAAAAGGATGGGGAGGAGTGTATATTTAAAGCTTCATTTTTGCTTTAACAGATATTTTAGCAGCAGATTTATTTAAAAGACCAGTGTAATATTTTGGGGAATGAGGTTTTTGCTGATTGTTTGATGAGCAGGTCAAGGCTCATGTTTGCACAGCAACAGCCCATCACATCCACTTCAAACAGGTGAAAACAGGTAGACTACATACATCCAGTGGGAACAATGTCTGTCTACAAGCACCCCTAGAGCTCACTAACTGACATGCTATATCATATTAGTTTCATATGTCTAGAAGCTGAAAAGAAAAACAGACAGTTTGGTGATTTTGTAGGAATCTATGTATGACTGAGTTAGATGGGAAAATTGACATTACAGGTCTGTGTGTTAAATGTGGAGCTGAAATCAGAGCATGGTTTGCCTGCCTTAGCATCAAGATTGAAATCAGGAAGAAACAGCAAGCCTGCAAGAAAAGTTTAAAATGACGCCTTTTGGTTAATTAAGTAACCTACTGTAACTAATTTGTTTAATTCTAAAACCAACAGGAAGATAAATACATGATTTTTTTTTAAATGCTGGGACTATTTCCTGCTAAACAACAGTTTAACATACACCATGACTTCTTCCTCTGTTTTCCTTTGCAGCTCTTTTGCAGCAGAACCTGCTTTCCCTTCCTAGTCAGAGTCAAACTAGTCTTCTTCCACATCAACCTGGACTGGCTCTGACTCCACAGGTAAATGTCAGACCACTAACTGTCGATTAGCACAGTGTATACTGTACCAAGGCTACAAATGAGGAAATATGACTATAAAAATCACGTGTCAAAATACCTAAAAAATCGGATCAGTTTCTGAGGAAGGAAAAATATTCATTACATTTGGTAACCAAATAGACTGCGGTCAAGGTAGGTGTGGAACATTTTAGGCAGCAAAAACATTTGGTTGATGTTTGGGAAACATCACAGTTATAAGAAACAGTTCTTCAACGAATATTTCATTAGTTTAGTCTTCTAGTGGAGTTCCTGAACGTGTACTTCAGTCTGTAATGCCTGTGGATACATGCAGAAAGATAGAAATCTGAACATTAAATCCTGCTGATATGTTACAGGATCTATAATAACCTATGATGCTCAAGGACAGAGTTTGGTTTCTTTTTAACCTCATGTCATCTGGTAACTGAAACTCCTTTTGTTGATGTTTCTGATCCAGGCGATGAGTCGCTCTGGTTTGGCCGGACCTTCTATGGAGACCCACATGGACATGTCCCACTTGCAGATGCCCAAACACATGTCAATACCAACACAGGAAGAACCCAGCGATCTGGAGGAACTGGAGCAGTTTGCCAAAGCATTTAAACAAAGACGCATCAAGCTGGGCTTCACTCAGGTAATTAGGAGGAAGAACCTTAAGAACACTGTTGCTCCATTTAAAAGCAGTTTCTCATTTAGCTTACATGGTTCTGACATGAATGTGTACTTTCTTATGATTTAGCAAAATGTGAATGAAAACCTGATGACATTAGTTGGGTTGGTGGCTTATAATAACAGAACTGTTAGCTAAATGTATCCAAATGATCTGCAGAAAATGTGCATTTATTTTTGAACTTGAACGGTTTTTCTATGCTGTATTTGTAACGTTGCTCCATCAGGTTGTATTTATATTTTGGAGCTTAAACTTATAGGTCTGCAGCAGCTTATTTCAAACAGTCAGGTGATCAGACAGGTTTTTAAATAAACCCTCAGGTTATTTAAACTTACTTGAAACAGAAAACAAAGATGAATACTAAAAGGATAACTTTAACTTCCTGCTTTACCTGTACCCTACACTGTACTTCTCACATAGTTTTTCTATGCAGTTATTGACTATTTAACTATTTCAGGTGCAATCACCAAAGTGGTTTACGTAATGTGGCCACGCTGTTGGCTTGTTTTTTTAACTTGTCTGATCATTTTGTGTTTGTTTTCCCACATCAACAACAATTTCTGCACAGAGCAAAATAACTGATAGGCTAAGATAAGAGGGAGGCTGTAATAAATTAAAGATATCCTTTAATAATAACTAGATTTTGGATTATAGATTTTGAACTGTACATATGTGCATCTTAATAATATATCTAGGACAAATAACACACATTACATGTTTGATACAGCTTTTATTTGGATTGTTAAATTATTTTAAGAGATGTGAACTAATAAATTGGTTTTTCAAAAAGATTGGTACGTCATGACGAACATTTATGTCAGGTTATTTTTTCTAGACAAAATGGCATTAACACTTAATTAAATCAGTTCATTCTTGATCTTGGACACAGTAGGTTAATTTAAATGGTAATTCAAGGTCTACCTCAGCTCCTTCCACTGACGATGACCATGAGATGTGCTTGAAAGCTGCAAAAAGCTGCTAAATTAACTGTCCTGCTCTTGCATCTATTTTGATTTTTGCATATATTTTATGTGTTTCTGCTGTGTTTGTGTTTTATCACAGGGAGATGTGGGTCTTGCAATGGGAAAACTGTACGGCAATGATTTCAGCCAGACCACAATCTCTCGCTTCGAGGCGCTCAACCTCAGCTTCAAAAACATGTGCAAGCTCAAACCTCTGCTTGAGAAATGGCTGAGTGATGCAGGTACAACACTGTGACTGTTACTGTTTCATTTCATTAGCAGAAAGTCAATGTCAATAAATACAATGTCATGGGTAATAGTATTATGAATTGCAATGATTAATTGTGTAGTTGGTAGTTATTAAATTTATCTCTAAATATTTAATAATCAACTGTTGCCTCGCAGCAAGAAGGTTGCCGGTTCGCGTCCCGGTGGGGGCACCGGAATCTTTCTGCGTGGAGTTTACATGTTCTCCCCGTGCAGCGTGGGTTCTCTCTCCGGGTTCTCCAGCTTCCTCCCACACAGTCCAAAAACATGTTGAGGTTAATTGGTGATTCTAAATTGTCCGTAGGTGTGAATGTGAGTGTGCTTGGTTGTCTGTCTCTAAGTGTAGCCCTGTGATAGACTGGTGACCTGTCCAGGGTGTCCCCTGCCTTCACCCTGAGTCAGCTGGGATAGACTCCAGATTCCTGATTCCAGTTTTGTATATTTTCTGGTTTCTTTACTCCTCTGAGACATTTAACAGACTATCGTTAGGTTGTGGAGAAACAAATATTTAAGGATATCATAATGAGCTTTGGGAAACACTGATTGAGATTTTCTGATATTTTAAAGACCAAACAATGCATACATTATTTAAGAAAACAATTGACAGATTTATTTATTTATTTATTTTTGCAATGAAAATAATTGTTAGTTGCAGCTATAATGTGAGGGCTACTGTATCTGAAATTTACAAAAATTCAGACTAAGAAGTGGACTGAGTGACTTGTAGTAACGCTCTCTTTCATTAACTACAGTAAATGTTGGAGAAACCACACAGGATTTATGGGTGCACACTGGAAGGGCTCTCCTATAGAAATAATTCTACTTTATTACATCTTGGACCTTGTTTTGATAGTTTTCTCCGTCACTCCATTGAGTAATAATATAATTCGACTTATAACTTAAGCACAGATGTAGTTAATATAATTCACAAAGGCTTCATTTAAGTGGACAAGTCAATCATCAACGCTGGTGTAAAGACGGCAGGGGAGTGGATCGAGCACACCTGACTGGGAAGCAGACTTATTGATGTTTTTGGTTACTACTTTTTAAAAATTCTGTATTGAAACCATAACAAAATGCAGTACCAACATTGCAATGCAACTTATGCTGTAAAATTAGGGTCCTGCTAAAAGGATGAATCTATTTTCATGTATTATTTGTTTTTGATATTAGAAAACTCACCTTCTGACCCGATAAGCAACTCCACCTCTCTGCCGCCGCTGATAGAAGGCTATGGACGCAAACGAAAAAAGAGGACAAGCATTGAAACTAACATCAAACTCACTCTGGAGAAACGTTTCCATGATGTAAGTTCAGGATTAATGTAGTATTAAACCTGCTTTCACAGTGAGTCTTTAAGTTACAGAATCTGTTATGTGGAGAGGAAGAGTTGATTAGCATTATACAGTCTAGCAATGTTAGACATGATGCACTGGAGCATGAAATATTTTTCCTGTGTATGCAAAGGACTAAAACATTCATAATACAAGTAACTCCCTTACAAGCAAGTCTTCATCACTGAGAAATAATGATTTAAGTCAGCGTATGTAGCATTCTGATGATTATAGCATCTTTCAGATCCTTTCAAATGTTTAAAATAATAGTTTTAAATATTGCAATACATCTTTTAGATTCACAGAATTTCAGTATTTTAAAATTTTTGATTGCAATTAAAGACGGGAGTCATCAATGTTTTTGGTTTTCAGAACCCCAAGCCTAACTCTGAGGAGATAACCCTGATCTCAGAGCAGCTGTCCATGGAGAAAGAGGTGGTTCGAGTTTGGTTCTGTAATCGCCGTCAGAAGGAGAAGAGGATCTACTGCCCGGTGGCGAGTTTACCTGTCAAATCTCACAGCTACAACTCCAGAATGGTTAGCTATATATCACATTCACCTCTTTTACATTACATCTGTTAAACTCTATTTTACCAAAAAGTCTTTTGATTATTGTCCATTCAAAAAAATTCAAAACCAAAGGCACTTGTCTGTGTGTTTGTACTAATATCTAAGTCTGACACACAGAGGCTCCCGCCCCATCTCTATTTATGATAACAGTTTCTTTCCTGCAGTACTATTTCTTCACAAACATGGATCCACTGAGTATTTGCTCTATGTTTCTTTGCAGCACCTCTGGCTACAGTATAGTCTGTGGCCAACTTTTTAGTTTTACTGTGCAGTACTCTATACCAACCCTGTCAACCTATGTGTTAGATACCGCTCAGCAAGACAGGAACTAGACAAAGTAGTCTGTCCCAACTGTATGCATACTACTTGCAACGATATGTAAGGGAAGTTGTAGTATGTAGTAAATAGAAAAATAAAAAATATATATATACATATAATTTGAACTGCAAAGGAAATTGTACTGCATCATACAAAGTTGTTTGCAACACAGATTACATTGTATAGCGGTCAGTTAATTCAAGACAAAGTCTAAAGGTCCTACATGTCTTTTTAACACTTTAAATATTTACTGTTTACAACATTTACACTGTAACACTAAAATCTAAAAAGAAGAAAGCAATTCCTTTCATTATTTTTTGTTTTGTAGTACTTATTTCAATGTTTTAGTGTTTTGTTTTGTTTCGTTTTCTGTCAAAAACCATAACCTAGCAGCAAGCCAGCACTACCGCAAGTTTACAAATTAAGCTGGTATTACTGTTAGATAACAGTAAGATGACAGAATTTTTGCTAATAGTGATGTTAGCTAACTTATCCAAAGTCCACAGCCCTTTGTATTTACAAATTTATAGTCATGTTGCTTCTATGATGTGAGCGTAGACAGGTTTTTCATACTTCACACATCTGTTCCCACCACAGATAGCAACGATTCAGCCGCTGCTTCTGAGCAGCTCTGCTATTACCATGGTTACTACTTGAGTTGGAATGAACCAACTACCTTAAACTGAAAGGGGGGTATGTGTGTACAAGGAGACAACCAGATATTAATATAAACACACAGAAAAGTGTCTCTGGTTTTTAGGCTGTATTATTACAGCTAAGTAATACATTTACTGTATATATACTACATTACAATATTTTATCATTGTGTTGCTGTAGCTTCATTAATTACAGTAACAGGCTAACACTGCTAACCGTATTGCGACTCCAGCTCCATTTTTCAAAAATAAAAATGCACTTTTAAAGCAGGTTTGTGCATTTTTTTTTTTACATGTGATCAAACTTCAGTAAAGGATCTTGCACACTCAAGGATTAATGCGTCCTAAATTATCCCTCAGTTATTCATGTCATGATCAAAAAACAGACCCAGAGACATAAATCTATCATGAGGCTACGGAAATAAATAGTGTAGGAGGCATTCAGCTGTCATCGCTGCTTTTACCAAGGACAATTATTAACACACAGTTTCTCTTTGAACACAGTTTATGTTAAAACCACAAAAATGCTATTTCTGGAAATTGGTGTTTATAGAGTAAATATATTTTACTGTCCTAACATCCATTTTGGCACTGTTTCAGGCCTCAACATCCAGATCCTACAGCCCCCTGGCTTCAGGTGGAGGCAAGTACTACACAACTGTTCTGTACTACATTCAATGTTACTGTCAGTGTGACTGAAACTGGGTATAATGGTGTGTAGTTCCCTCATATTAATAATGCATTTGCAACATTTTACAGCTAGTTTCCGCATGATTGCACAAAAATACACACACAAAAAACATTTGGTTAGTGTTGTATGTATACCTGTATGTAGGTTTTTGTATCTATGTACCAACTGAATAATGTTTTTACCTTTTCTTTGCAGTTTCATCCAATTCCTCCCCAAACAGTGTGAGTCGTGAAGCTTCTCCCAACAATCTGTCCGCAGCCACGGCCTCTCTAACGTCTCAGGTCAACCCAGCTTCCTACAGCACACCAGGGTGAGAAGCATACACTTAAACATGGTTTTTTTTTTCATACTAATTACAGATACCACATCATGAAGTCTTGCAGTTATAAAAGAACGTTTCACTTTATCAAGATGACTCATCTGAGGGCGCCCCTATAGCTCACCTGGTTGAGTGGGTGACCCATGAACAGGGGCTGTAGCTCCCTGGCGCAGCAGTCGTTAGTTTGATTCCCGCTCACGACAGTTGGCTGCAGGTCTCTCCCCATTCTTCTCCCCCCTTTCCTGACTCACTCTCTCACTGTCCTAACTAATAAAGGCAAAAATGCCAGAAAAATAATCTTTAAGATGAATCATCTGATTTCGATCAGTGTCAGTTTTAGCTCTGTGTGTTTCATACATCAGTGAAGTCTAAAAGAAAGAAGAAAAAAAGAAACAGTTTTAGGTTTTCTAAGCTTTATACTAAGGGAACTTTGGGAAAAGGTTGATTTTATTAAAGGTGGCAAGAACTTGACTACAGTGTAATATATTTTTTTTAAATTAAGTTTAAAAAAATTGTATTTTATGGAATTTTAACTTTTTATTTACCAATTTTTTCCCCTGTTTAGTATATTTTTTAAATATACTAAAATATTAATAAAGATACAAAAATAGACAGAATTTATATGTCTAATGTTAAATAACTTTTTTTTTTTTAAATAGTGGTGGATTGATATTTTCTCAAAGGTAAATCCAATAATTTTATAGGTGAACATACTTTTTAACATTCAAGATCTATTCAGTACACATGAGCTTTACAAGGATTCTGTTTTTGTGTCCAGAGTTCAAAGAGGGAATTAAAATTACTCATGTCTGTATGAGTGATATATATATATAAAGCAACAGCAAGAAGATGGACAATGAGTTAAAAAAAAAATAAAATAAAAGTTATAGACCAGAAATCAGGGGAAAGGGGTTCATTCAGTTCTGTTCAAAAATAACAACATTACCTCTACAGCACAGAAACGTGTGTCAAAAATGTGCAAAAACGGTATTTTGTGTTTAAGTTGAATCATGTACTGGATTGTTTCAGGCAAACATAAGCCTGGTATCGATCTTCCCATCTAATTCTTGATATAAGAATATATCTATTACTACTTTTTGGTCACTTTTATTTGTCTAAGAGGATAATTCTGTCTTTTTCAGGTCCTGGTATCGCACATGGAATCCTGCCACATACCATCACTGAGAAACACAAACTGTATCATATGAAGCTTTTTAGGATTGTTGTGTCTGACAGGAATGTACAGTGAAAACAGAGTAGCACAATGTCCCTGTTGTGAACGGGGTTACAACTACAGGCTAAACCTTAAATGGACATAACAAGACAAAGCAGCAGCACAAGCAGAGGACTGCGACACACCACATTGCTGTCAACACTCAATTCATCGCTCATGCAAGTCCCAACAGCCTCCAGCTGTTTGATTTGTGATCATGTGACTCTTTATTCTGTTGCACAGATGAAGAACACACAGAAAAACTCAGTTTAGAAACACTGGTGGGAAATCTTGTGTTCAAGCCTATTTGATTGTGGCTTTAACTGCCAAGACTCAAATCAATTATTTGAATGTTGACTCACTAAGATGTTCCTTTTGCCATCTTTCTGCGCATTACAAAGACCCCAACTGTAGCTGTTATTGTATGTTTTTATGTTAGTTAGTTAGTTAGTTAGTTAGTTGCACTGGTAAATTTGAGGTGATCCTTCGTTGCGTACTGCAGGCCTGTCTAAATAAATATGCAGTCACAACATGGGGATTTGGTAGAATTATCGTTTACATGTTAATAACTGGTGAAGAAAGGCTCTTATATATATTTATATATATAGAGAGAGAGAGACAACATCCCACTCACTGCAACTATTAGGGACAGTTTGATCATTTTAGTTCTTACAACATGGTTCTAATCATCATCATATAACGAGTCATGATAACGTTGTTCAGGTAAATGCTGAGATTGTAAGACATTGCTATAAGATAGGTGAAAAACTTTGTTATTCGTTCAGATTTGGAGGTAAAACTAAGCATGAATCCACCAAAAATGTTGCAAAATGCACAAAAACATTGTGTAGTTTTAGGTAAGCAGTTTGTTTTTTCTTCCAAATGGGTTTATCTGAGTGGGAGGTTCCTTTTTTACCCATCAGATTGCATTTTTCTTTGCCTTCTTTTAGCGATGATATTGGAATAACTTGATGAATGCTATTTTAGTGCTAAAAGGAATGATTAATAAAAATTTTTTTTTAAATAACCCAGGTATTTTTGACAGTCTTGAACAATTTCTGACAAAGTCTGAACTGAAATTTGAGATGACGGACGGAGTGGCTTGTTGTCATTCAAATGTCGTTGCCCACAGTCCTTTGTTTTCTAGCGTTGACTGTTTAACAGCCGTAACAGCCTCCTCCAGGCTGTGTCCCTCTGTCGCCATGTCTTCTACAATATCTGCATCCTTTGTAGCTTTGCTGAGGGGATGAATTGTACGGATGATAATGTGGAGTTTCACTGTACAAGCAGAAATAGCTGTGTGAAGAATGGTTTACTTCTATTCTTCATACATACAAACAGCGATGGTGCAACAGGCTGCAGTTTAATGTGACTTTTTCCAACTATAAGCTTGAGGTTGAAAAAGGTTCAACTTTATGCAAATTGCCCTTTCTGTGCTGTAGCAATGGTGTGGACTCAACCAATCATGCTTGTCTAGGAGAAAAAATGTAAAATTCAGTATACACACTCCCATCGCTCGAATAAGAATACATGGACTCAGAAAATGGCTGACCAATCATAGCTGAGGATATAAACTACCCTTGTTTTCTGTCACGGCTGCACAAACCTGGCCAATCTCTGCATAAAGTTACAAAGAAGTTACAAGTTGTAGCGCGCAGCCCTCAAATTTAACCATCTCACTGTCTAAAGAAGCATTTTTTTAAATACAGAAATGCAATAAAATGCCTCCTGTGTGGATCATTTACTGCAGTTGTGGTTTTAATCTGAATGGTTCAACCTGGCTGTAAAATTTAAGATAATTCAAATTTTGGCAACGGTGGTTCATGCATGTGTTTTTACTGATGACGTCCTGTCACTCAGCAGTGTAGAGAGAGGTTTTCTGTTGGGTTTTCAAAGGCCAGGTAAAAGAATAAGCATACAAATCCCATAAAAAGGCCCAAACTGTCTTTGGCTCACCTCTAAAAAATGACCAGTAACCTCCTAAAAACATTTCTGCAACAGGAGTAAAGTGTACATTTCTTGGAGACTACTTTCAGCTGTGGATGAATATACATTTGTTGCACTTGTTTCCCAGCAGTTTCTAGAAGACAGTGAAGCTCAACAAGCTGGATCAGACAACACTTGTTGGTGGAATCTGTTTCTTGTTGGTTTTGGTATTTTCATAGGATTTGTTCATGATTAGAAAATATAAAATGACATCAAACTTTTCCTTTATTCTGGAAGTATTGAACTCTGCAGGTCCAAGCCAGGGCTTCTGTTTACTTTGTACTTTATTTCCTGCTGTGGGTTGTTGTTCTGTTTCCTAGAGATACTCATAAATCTGCCTTTCAGTCCTACTTTGGTTTTGTTTGTTTGGTTGCTTAAAAGCCCCTTTTGAAAGCTTAATTTGTACTTTGAGTGTATATTTTATTTTATTATAAGAAAATGTTTTGCTGTGGTACAAACCTCTGTTTTCATCCATCAAATAAAACCAGCTGCTGTAACTATGTTGTACAGAGTTACAGAAAGTACTTTTTGAAGTAAAGCGAGAAGTGGCATTTTTACTGATGGAACTGAAGCTCTGACAGTGAAAGTTGGCAGTGCTGTGTGAGTCTCAGGGAATTATTTGTCTTTACCTCCAACTCCACGGAACCTCATTAACTTTCATTTTCTGTTATTAAACAGAGGATGGCCATGTATGTCGTGGGTTCAGCTTTTCTTTCTTTTAAAAGAAGATCATGGAGAAAAAAACAAAAAAAACATCAAAGCTCCCATACAACAGACACATTTCTTGCTCTGAAATTTGCACGTAACTCAGCATATTTTCTCTGTAAATATCATCTTGAATAAATGTTGTTTTAGATCCTCAGGTTGTGCTAAAGCTATGTGCATTCATTATCAGTATAGAATATCAATTTCCCGTCAGGTAAACTGCAGCACCTACAAAAAGAAATCAATGCTGTAGCTTTGGTGAATTCAGAGGTCAAAACGATCGAAAAGTTGACCCTTGAATGTAGAGAGCATGTGACACAGCTCAGTTAATTTATCTTTTAAGGTGATGGCTTTATTTTATTTGTCACTCAGGTGAGTCAGTTAAATGTTCTTCAAGGGTTTATGCAGACATGATAGGAAAGTTATTGAAAGATCAACAATCCTATATAACTTACTTTAATATGCTAATTTTTTAGCATTTATAACCAGAAAAACACGGTATAATGAAGTTGTGAGCAGATATGAGGACATTTGTGTTATTAATAACCAATATTTGCCACCTCAGAATGGCATCAATATAATATTAAAATACAGGAAGAGGGTGCTTTTTTGATTATTTCTAACTCTGCAAGCCTTGATGTGAGGAAAAAGCTGCTTTTACCATTTTTATAGACTGATATGATGTAAAACAATCACATTTCCAGAGCGGTGGACTTCACCATCTCACTGAGCCTTATATATGCATATTTAGACTTTACAGCTTATAAAAAATCTTATTTTCTGCAAAATGGACAGAACCAAGCCTTCAATATTCTAATCTAATGATTGGATCTGATTTAAAATACTCTTTTGCGTAAAATATTGTCCTAAATGGTGTGTATTGTGAAGATGCAGCCGTTAAGCACACAGAAAGAGATCAAATTTTAAAAAATGTACAGTATATACACTTTAATGATAAAAGAATATTAAAACAAACCATCAGACTGAGTAGATTTGTCATAAAAAAGCATTTCTGTCTCCATATAGACATAGTTCTCTGTGATTTACAATAAAAAGGCTTTAATCTTCAGCTTAGTGCCCTGAATGTTCACTGATGACTTGTTTTTCGTTCAACCATCCGTCCACTGAACAGTGAGGTCAGTTTCAGCACCGTTTTCCCCTCTGAGTGTGTTTGGTTTATAGTTTGATCGTGTGAGTATTTCAGATTTCCTTGAACCTGCAAGAAAAAGTTACAGTTTAGAGAATCATCATTAGACACACATGCAAAAATGCTGCTTATAATAGATTTTTGTTTAGATGATGTCAGTAAGTCTGTACTTTGTGACGCTGTTATTGAGTGGTTATGAGCTGATTTGCAAAAGAGTTTGATGAGAAGATCAATACCATTATAATTATCAATTACCAGAGCCTGGAGAGTGTTAGCTTAGCTAAGTAGAAAAACACTAAAAACAACTTGCAAATTAACACTTTAAGCACCTTCCTTCCTGTTAAATTACTAATTATCTGTATTCCTGCTTTTGTACAGATCAAACAAACAAGATTTGATATAATCATTAGTGAACTTTACAGGTGCTAGTATGTGAATTTTGTTTAAATTTGGGCAGACCCAGGCTAGGCGTTTCCACTGCTGCAAGTCTTTATGCTAAGCTAAGCCAAGCAAAGCTAATAACCTCCAGACTGCAGCTCCGTCTTTAAATTATCGACATGGACTGGCATCAATCTTTTCATTTGACCTTTGAAGGAAAGTGAAGTCTTTTCTATATGTCTTTGCTATAGTCTTCGAATGTATGCCTATTTTACTCGCTGTGTTAAACATACTTTAATAGATGAGTGTTGTTTTTGTAATGCTTTCTATTCAAAAACATGCTTTTAATCTTAAGCAACTTCTGGAATGAAAGCAAACATGAAGTTCTTTACCTCGAGGTAAACGTAATGTGGTGATAAAACTCACCCTCTGACTCGGGGGACGCGTCCACACCACCCCTGAGCTTCCTTGTAGACGAGTCTGGACAAAAACTGAAAAACAAAACAACACGTAAGTCGAGATGTTGTTGCAAAAACAGGGTTTAAAGTGGGATCTGTACCATGGGGAGGAAGGGCTCTGTGGTTTCAGGTAATCGACAGCAGTGAAAGACAAAATATTTCTACATATCAAGGCCTAGAATTACAATAAAAGCAATTTATAGACACTAATAAAATGGCCAGAATTATTATAATTTAACAGACTGTGCCTGAACTATAGTAAGACAATATAACTCTAACAATTAGCTGCTCCTACTGTGACAGATGACAATAAAACCTTTCTGTAAGTTCAACTCTCCTGTGTATCTGTGTTAAATATAGGAATAGTGGTGTGACGCTACAACAAAGGGAGAGAATAATTGTAATTTCATTCATTTACCTTCAGCAGTATTAAAATATGACATTCTCAACATGGTGTGATTTGAGTTGCTCTGATATTCTGCTCAACACACGCGAGCTAGCTTGATAGTTTCAACTTGAACTTGGACTACGTCTTGTTAAATTTAGACCAATTTACTTTAAGTTACGTAACAAAATGAAGTCTCTGTGTTGGTTTCTGACCCGTTTCTCTCTCTGCCTTTTTATCAAACTTTTCATGACACCTGCACTGTCTGACAGGACAAGGCGTTGATCTGCAACGTGGTTTTAAGGAAAACTCACTGACAGTATGAAGGAAAACCTGCAAGTTGCTGCATGTTATGTACAAATGCACTGAATTTGGTGTTCCAATCAGTCTTCCAATTATCAAGACTGAGAATTGTAAAAACAAATGCTTTGTTGAAGGTGAATACAGTGAAGTTGAACATCCCAGGACCATCACCATGACAACACAATTCAATAATGAAAAACTTAGCATCAAGAATAAAAAGACACAAGATTATTTTAAGCATTTAAAGCTTTGCTGTAAGAGATCCTAGTGAATATATAAGCAGTGTTTCTCACCAGGCAGGCTAAGATGTCTGCAGAGATGAGCATGTAGAAGACGTTGTTCCAGCCGGTGGGAGAAATCACACCAGCCAACAGAGGACCCAATGCAGCACCTGCAGAGAACACATGGAAAACTATTTGTTGACTCTTTGTTCAGCAGTGAAAAAAAAACAAAATATCAACCTCATGGACTTCAAAATGCTTACACCTCTGAACATTTAACACTAAAAGTTAAATGTATAAAAGTAATAACAAATGCAAAGAGGAGAACCTAAAATAGAAAAATAACAATTATTTTATATCTAAATATTCTGTTTTCTCTTCCCTTTCTTAATTAAACATTTCAATTATTTCCCGAACCATGTCATGATATCAGTTTGCCATTTCTGCATTTAATTTATGCTTTGTTTCCTTTTCTTTTTATCGTTTAATTGTGGTGTACTTATACTGAAAATACACTAATAGTATACGTTCCATTTGCCCTTTTTAATTTAAATGTTTCTGTTTTTGCTGAAAACTGTTGTTGCATCTAAAAATCAAGTTGGGAGCAGCATTTGTGAGTCACAAAACATAAACAATGAGGCAAAAGAGGCTGAAACCGACTGTACAAAAGAGAGGAAGTACAGATGATAGTGTAAATATGATCCACTGTTAATATCACAATCAGTGATTAGAGAAACCTTTAAATGTGAGATGGAACATGAAGATGTTGACAGTTTGGACGTACCTATTGATCCAGTCCCATCAATAATGGCCGTCACCGTTGACAGTGCTCTGGAGTTTCCTCTCAGACTCTCGTGTGTTCCCTGTTGCAGCAAAAACAAATGTATGTCAGCAGGACAGAGGTTTCTAAGGTTTAATAGATGGCAGTTACATAAAACACAGGGCTTCCCATGAAGCTTCAAGTCTCACCAGGTCAGCAGATACAGCAGTCGTGATGAGAGCGTATGGTCCGTTCACTAGGCCTCCGCACACCAAAAGCATACCTATATAATATTTAAAAATTGTCAGTGAAGACTAAAGCTACTTCTTTGAATGGAAATCTATCATTTCCCCTCTAAATTGAACAAAATAAAGCTACTTTTATATAACTAAAGATACATTTTGTACAAATCCGCTCTGCTGGTTGATCTACTTTCAGCTCAAACTAGGTTCAGATCTCAGTGGTGCAAATACAAGCAAATGGAGAAACACTGCTGAACTGTTTCTCTCTGCTGTCTCATCTTTTAAACCCTTAAAAAGCTTCCTTTTTCTGATAATGCAACATGCTTTTCTGATGTATTACCATGGTGAAAACATGTGATCAAACAATCAAGAAGTCATTTGCTGAGCCTCATCTTATCTAATGATCAGTTTCTGGACCACAGCCAGACATACTGTCTTTCACTGTGTGATAAAAAAAAACAAGAAATAAAATAGATAACTGAGGATGTGATTGGAATAATATCCAACAATATACCCTTTTGTATCTGTGTGTGTATAAAGGCATATGTTGAGCTATTGGTGTTTTCAGCGATTAAAAATTGTGTCATAAACTTTCTGATTTTCAGCTCAGACTTTTAACATCATCTATGAAAGAGCATGTGATCTCAGTAAACATTTTAAAAAAATAACCATAGATAAATAAACATCAAAAAGCATCATGTAAATACAATAGTACAAGCCAAAGTTAAACAATGTAGTAAATAAGTCTTACCGACTGTTGTACCGAGGCTCCTTTGTCCAATGTAGTTGTAGAGGAAAAGCTGTGAATAGAGCAAAAAGATAAATAATCAGAAGACGTCATCGAAAATCTACTGAAACTCTGACAATAGCACAAATATAGAGACTTTATTGTGAATCAATAAAATTGTATGCAGGAGAGTATTTACTGTGGCTGTAAATGTTCACTAGTATGCCTCTAGGTATAAAATAAAAAAACAAACAAACCTGCATACATACAAAATACAAAAATACAATCACCACCTTGAAGTCGTATGTCTCTGTGAACCAGAAAAGTTTCAGTTCACCTCAGCGACTACTTATATAAAATAATGTAGTGAAGACTTTGAAATAATTTTAAGGCACATGAGATTAATTCTGCCAAATCAGTATCTGACTAAATGTGAAATATGTTGACAAACTGTCCTGTTCGTGAGTTATGGCTTTAAATGATGACACAGCAAAGTGAAATTTCGGATGTAAAATGGCATCACTTCATAATTTTCT